ATTTAGAAGAACATTTTTTAAAATATATTCATTGCTAAAGTTTGTCAGTTACTGATAAACGACCAATGAGTATAATGGAGTAAGGCGTTGCTGACTCGGTATCGGATTTGGAACCTCATCGATATCCGAACCACGGCAGTGTCTGATTAGCTCAGTGGATCAATTGTCACTGCCGTGTAAGGTGTAATGTGTAGGCTCTTCAATCCATTTTGTTATGTAAATGTGAGAATACATTACATATCCAGAATTCCACTCAAGCTTTCCACTGCACTCACTTGTCTCATTTCATGCAGTTTTTGCAATGGTGGGAATAAACTCACAGACAATGAGATAAAAAAATATTAGTACAAATAAATTTTGAGAATGAAACGCCAATGAAGATGCACATGCAGAGCAATAAAGCTGCACATGTTCTCAGGCACACACACTTGAATGACTTAGTCTCCTCCCCATGATTAAAAATGCTACAATTTCGAGCAATTGGAGTTATTGTACAGAGAAATGACCCTTCTTGAGGCCAGATATTTGGTCCTTTTGTTTTCATAATTTTTTTAAATGGGTTCGAGTTCATAATTGTGAATTTGAAGACTGCATTCAATGTGAAAAAAATCTATATTAATACCTGGAAAATCAGTTGCTGCATATGTAAAATGAAAGGCACCTTGAAAATACTTGACAGAATTAAGGGCAGATATCATTTGCAACTGAAGTTGTAGTGACTCAAAAACCTGAGATGATTAGGGTTATACTGACAGTAGAGCAAGTAAGAGGATCTAGTCCTAAATATATTGTAGGAAATTTTCTGTATTGTAATGGGATTTTTGGAGGTCTGCATTAGTAAGTTGGAGGATCTCGTGTGGTGGCAGGTGTGCGATTCATTGTAATATTGGTCTTTAATTCTAACATGCCTACTTAATCATCTCACAAATTTAAAGTTTCATGTATGAAGTTGTCCAATCAAATCTAAGCTTACTGGAATATAATAGTTTATACTATTTTCATTTTCATTATCTATTGAATCGTCAATGAATATCATGTTACAGACCTTTTGTCATGCAGAATTAATAAGTGAGAATCTTTTTACCAACGTTTTCATTTTACATAATTAGTAGACTTAATGCATTACCATCAAATGATGATAGTTTTGAGCATTTTTTGTTGATAACTTCTTACCATGAAACATTTCATAAATGAGTTTGGACTCATTTTAAAGGCCTTTGCAAGGGCTATCATATGTCATGACATCTCCAAAAAAGTTCCATATGCTATTTGTAAGGTGCCAGACGGTGCCCAGACGCAAAGTAAAAGTCTTCTGAATTACCCCTGGTAATGGGATAATAATAGATACTTGAAATAAAACATAATTTTGAAATGTTTGAAGCATGCAGAGTGTTTTCATCCATTACTAACAGTACTCTGAAGTCCTCCTCTTCCTTTGTAGATGTTGTAGATGTAGAGTAAATGACATTTTCTGTGATTTTTACTCATTTTTCCTTTATCAATATATTACCATATCCATGGACATACCATTGAGTACCATAAAATTAGGTAACTTTGACCACTTTTTTTTTTAAATGATATCATTTTTTTTACTATATAAGCTAAACTTAAATTGAAACATGCAAAATACAGGTCTATACTCTAGCTTCAATCACCATAAATTACTGGCTCCTGCCTCTCATAGTTTTGATGTAATTTAAAAAAAAGTGATGGTCTTTGTTACCCCAGCTCTTGGGGTTTCTTTGACTGGGTGGTAAAATCAATTTTATTTTTTGGTAAAATAACTCCAGGTTTTGGTGCATTGTAGTAGAACTCTTCTAGTTACATATGCAAATGACAAATTTTAGGAAAGTGTCATAGTTTGCAAATTAGGGGCACCGCCCCCCAATGGGTGAAATGTGACCACCTAATGGCAGCTGTGATGGGGTAACATTGACCGGCTTGGAAGTTAAGTTAGAATTACCATATATAAGACTCTGTAGAGTCTGAAACATAAAGAAAAAAACATTAATAGTGTATCAAATATAAAATATGTTATATAGGTACCTATGGTAATTTTAACTTAATTTCCAAGCCGGTCAATGTTACCCCATCATGGCTGCCATTAGGTGGTCAAAGTTCCCCCATTAAGGGGCGGTGCCCCCCATTTGCAAAATTTCCTAAAATTTGTCATTTGCATATGTAACTAGAAGAATTCTACTACAATGCATCAAAACCTGGAGTTATTTTACCAAAAAATAAAAAAATTGGAGGGTGTACTCACGTAACACAATAGAAAAATTTAAAAAGTTTGCATATCTAATAGGTTAAAAAATTAAAAATGTGACCCACAAAAAAGAGCTATTATTTAAAGCCTGTCGGAGTACCCCTTCCAATTTTTTTATTTTTTGGTAAAAAAACTCCAGGTTTTGATGCATTGTAGTAAACTCTTCTAGTTACATATGCAAATGACAATTTGCCTTTTGCATATGTAACTAGAAGAGTTCTACTACAATGCACCACAACCTGGAGTTAGTTGGAGTTATTTTATCAAAAAAATAAAATTGATTTTACCACCCGGTCAAAGAAACCCCAAGAGCTGGGGTAACAAAGACCATCACTTTTTTTGAAATTACATCAAAACTATGAGAGGCAGGAGCCAGCAATTTATGGTGAGTAAAGCTAGAGTATAGACCTGTATTTTGCCTGTTTCAATTTAAGTTTAACTTATCTAGTAAAAAAAATGGCATCATTTTGAAAAAAAAAGTGGTCAAAGTTACCCCATTTTACGGTAGCTCTTTTTTGTGGGTCACATTTTTAATTTTTTAACCTATTAGATATGCAAACTTTTTAAATCTTTCTATTGTGTTACGTAGCCTCAGTATTAGGTCTTTAATGGCCATTGATGAAATTTTTATATGTCAAATAGTTTTTGAGTTTTGGGGGTTTTTGTTAAAAAAACGAAAACTGGTCAAAGTTACCCTGGGAGTCTTTAAGGGGACCGGTTACCCCAAAAATCAGAAATTTTGACTACCATTTTCTTGACTCATTTTGTAGCTGCTGAAAAGGCGCATCTAACCCAGTTTACTGCATGTCTGTGCGTGCTATAGTTTTTGCGCAAGACAATTTTAAAAATATATATAATGACCATTTTTTAACAATATATACAAAGATTTATTTGAATTAAATCTGTATATATAGATCATTACTCTCGTTAATTACAAAGTCTTTGCACTCGTTTTAAAGCTACAAACAAGACGCGTTCAACAAAGCTACTATACCATAGATGTACATGCAATACTTTTTTGTGTAATACAGTCTTGAACTTTAATAAAATGATCATTTTAAACCATTATTTACAAATAAATGGTATTTGTTATTATTTAGTTTAATTGCAAAGCGTTTGCACTCGTTTGAAAGCTCCAAACAAGATGCATTCAACAAAGCTACTACCATGGATGTACATGCAATAGTTTTTGCGTAATGCAGTTGTAAAGTTATGTAAAAATATGGTGAGTGAAGCTAGAGTATAGACCTGTATTTTGCATGTTTCAATTCAAGTTTAATTTAGCTAGTAAAAAAATGGCATCATTTATAAAAAAGAAAGTGGTCTAAGTTACCCCATTTTACGGTACCCGTTTTTGGCCGTTTTCTATGAATATTACATTTTGTATCAATTTTTTCGAAAAATTCAAAGGAGCAAAATGTTATTTTTTACGTTTTATGTGTGTATGTGAAGTTTCACAATGATCGGATAATAACTGAAGAAGTTTTTACGGAGGGTAGCCAGTCCCCTTAAAGTAACCCCATTATATGGTATTGATAACAACCTTGTCCACTGCAAGCTTCAAATCAGCAGCCATAGAGCATTTCTTTTGTATCTGTAAGCTTTCAGGATGGCTTGTAATTTCACACAGTTTTAATTGAGTCAAGTGAATTCACCATAATAAAAAATCATAAAAAACATACCTGTAACAGAAAAGAATATTTTAGTGACAACCATCATATTTTTTGAAGAAATAAATCATAGTTTAACTGAACTACTTTTCATTCTATGTTGCCTGGTGCACAATTCTATTTCTATTTGACATTCTATGCCTAATTTTGTGATGATTGATGATGCATTAATTTTTGTCAAGCAAAATTCTTTTTGCTGAACAAGGTGAATTTGATCATAATACATTGTTGTTAATTTTTTTTGTTAACTGTAGTCTTTGCTAATTGAGGTTCTACTGTAAGGCATTATTAGGGGTGTCTCTTATTGCCCTGTCGTGCGGAAATGGCGGCCATTTTTTGGGAATGAGCTACTCAAATTCTGTTAATAACATTTTTAAGCAACACCTGTTTGCTACTATTATGTAAATAAAATTCTTTAATACGGCAAATGTTTATTTTTGCTACAGACCTTAGCAGAGGTACTTTTCAAAAAATCTCATTATTCATGCTGTTTTTTTCAGGGATTTTTTAGAGGAAGTAAATATATGATTTCTTAACTTGCTTTATGCTACATAGATAGGAAAAATGTTGAACTTCACATCACTATTTTTAGTTTTGCAATAGTTTGATTGGTTTAGCTGCTATCACATTTTAAAAAAATGTTGCAGAACTGTCGCTTATTACCCAGGCTGTCCCTTATTACCCAGTTTGATGATATTTGAATTTGCAAATAGAAAAAAAGGGTTAAATATGGATGCAGCATGCCACAAGCATTAGAAAAAAGTGCATTCAAATGGTAAATATATCCTAAGTATCTGTTTTGTTAGAGTGCTGAAACTTTTTAAGGGATTTTTGATGGTGCTGCTCTGCAATAGGTTTTCTGCTGAAATAAAACTTGTTGACTTTCACCAAATGCAAGATCACCAACTTATTCTGTTCTTATCATAATATCTTGTACTAAATATAGTTGAATAGCTATTAATTTGTCCATATTACATTTATGTTGCACATATATACTGCAATCATTGACTTTTGAGAAATGTTTATCAAGTATATTTCTTCCAATTTTCTCTCAAATAGTTTTCCTATCAGATTCACCAGTAGCTGTGCTACTTTTATAAAAGTGGAGTAGTTAGTTTGGCATAAAAAACTACTTAATCCAGAGGATCAGGTTGAGCCTCACTTGATTATGGCCGCTGTGCCAACCACTGGTGCTGCGGGAGCTGCTCATGTCACAGCCGTGCCACTGCAGCAGGGCATGCAGATCATGAATGTCAGACCAACACAAGGAAGCTTACTGCAACCTCAGCAAGTCAGATCTTTGGCTCCCAGAATGATTCTCAGCCCACAAGTTTTGCATAATGTCAGACCAGGACAGCCTGGGGTGAGTTTAGTTCTTTAATTATTCAAATTCTAATCTGGATTAACATACATTCTTTTCTTTATCAAACTTGCTGCTGCATGCTTGAAGTCAGCCAAATTACATTAATATTTCTACAACAAATTGATTATATGCTCAAATAGTAAATATATAGCTTTCTAATAATTGTTTTTTAGAAACTTTGGAAGAATGTAATGTTGCAGTATGACAATTTTTGAACTGTGTGGTGCTACAGTATGATTTGGGAAGGTGTGATGCTGCAGTAGGTGTTGGGAAGGTGTGATGCTGCAGGAGGTGTTGGGAAGGTGTGATGCTGCAGGAGGTGTTGGGAAGGTGTGGTGCTGCAGGAGTTGGGAAGGTGTGGTGCTGCATTAGGTGTTGGGAAGGTGTGGTGCTGCAGTAGGTGTTGGGAAGGTGTGATGCTGCAGGAGGAGTTGGGAAGGAGTGGTGCTGCATTAGGTGTTGGGGAGGTGTGGTGCTGCATTAGGTGTTGGGAAGGTGTGGTGCTGCATTAGGTGTTGAGAAGGTGTGGTGCTGCATTAGGTGTTGGGAAGGTGTGGTGCTGCAGTAGGTGTTGGGAAGGTGTGGTGCTGCAGTAGGTGTTGGGAAGGTGTGGTGCTATGTGCCTCCAGCAAACTTCACAAGTAGACAAACTCATCTACTTGTGTAATAAGAGGTAACCATAAGAGTGGAAGGATAAAGAAACAATTGGTCCAAAAGATTAATTGAAGGAATCTTATACAAAAGTGAAGCAAACAAGAGTGACTGAAGTAAACAGAAGACAAACTCTAAAGGTAGTAATGGCAAATAAAAGTAATGTGTGAATTGTGAGTGATTATGCTAAGAATGCAATAAGAATTGGAGCATGGCAGGGGGAGGTGGTACTTGCATCAGTTAAATGGAAAGCACAACTAATTAAATTCATTTACTAAAATTAAACTGATAATACTTTTGACATGGCTTTGGCACACGGGTAATATTTTTAGGTGACTAAACCTCTCCAGGGGTATCATGCCACTTGAGCTGATAGAACATGCTTGAAGCATTAATTAATGGAAAAAAAATCAGAAATTATAATTAATGAAGCTACAATGAACAAATTGAAAGTCAAACACTGAACTTCATGACTGTAGACAATGAGTAAAGAAGTGACCGACTTAAGAAAATTTTTGAATGATCATGATCAAAGTTTATGAAAAATTGCAACAAAAAGGTGGAACAGAATAGCTAGCACAAACTGAATGAACATAAATAATACAAGCAGAGAAAAAATACCTTAGAACAGCATAGAACAAGGTATCAATAAACCTTGCAACACCAAAGAATAAAAGTAAGAACCAATAGCCTCAATAGAAATAATGGAAAGTAAAGCCCTGGTAAGTTCAATCACACAAGATTGCAGCAAAACTTTGACATATAGGCAACCAAAAATTTATCTTACTCTTGGCCTGAAGGGGTAACTCTTCCTTGCAATGGTCTTGCCTACTAGTAAATAATAGTCTTCTGAATTCCAATTGATTTGAAAAAAATACCCACAGCTTCAAAGTAATGGCAATGACACTGGCACTTCAATTGAAATTGGCACTGGTATGAGACAAGACAACACATGGCATTGTTAGTTATGAGCAGTGGGTTAAAATCAGGTAAATGAGTGAAGGAAGTGAGGAATGTGTTGTAACCCAGCTACAATATGACTCCCTGTGACAGTGTGTTGCTGCAGTTTTAGTTTACTGAGGAGTGAACTGGCTGAGAATGAGTTAAAAGCATGGGACTGCAGTGTGAATCTTAATTAAATTGTGATGTATTGAGTGCTGATGAACTAAAATACTAAAAAGAAAGTATTTTACTTATTTAATATTGATTTTCAGGTAATTTCTGGTTCTCCTGGACATCTTATCATAAAATCGGATGGGGGGCAGATGCACCTGGTGAGAGTGAATCCCACGGTCGGACAAGGCCAGGGCGTTGGAGTGACCGTCAACAATGCCGTCTCCTCCAACGCCCTGCCTGCCACGTCTGTCCATGTCACACTCAACCAGCTCGCCTCCTCAAATAATGCAGGAATTGTTGCTGCTCATCCATTTAGATTTCAACAGTCACAAGTGAGTTTCATATGTATGAAATCTGAGGTCTGAGAAATTAAGATTTTTTTCCATTTACCTCTCACTCAGCCAATGTTGCTACCAATTTTTTTATTTCAATAATGAATTGATTGCTGCAAGTCAGTGACATTGTGTTATCTTTGTATAATATGTTCAGAATTTTTAAGTGCATCTGAATAATTTGACTTGTTAATTTCAGGTGACAGTGGTCTCCAGCAGTGGGCAGAACGCCATAGCTTCAGTTGCTCCCACCACAGTTAATAGTTTAAACCTCAATAATATAGTCCCAAATATGACCACTTTGAATAACTCAAGCAATATGAATAATAGTATTCCATCGTCAACTATAATGAACAACAGTACAAACCACTCAAACAACATTGTAGCCGCCTCCCCTGTCCTCAGTTCTGCATTAGGTAACAATGTGCAGCCCCACCAGCCTGCTGGCAATGCTGTTCAGGCTCAACCTCAACAGATGGTCAGTGTTAGTTGCTTCTCTGTAAAAGATTTTAATGTTCCCATTCGTATTTGTCATCTTGTTTAGTGTTTGATGAATGTTAAATGAGATGGTTTTCTTATGTTCTGTTCTTATACAATGTTAAATGCATCAGTACAATAGTTCAATACAAAAATCGTGGTGATTCTGAAAGTTTTAATTGTCTTATTTTAGGGGCCAGCTATGATGGCATCAGCAGTGTAAATAATAATAGTGTAATCGGCAGAAGCAGCAATTCATAATACTAATTTTACACAATTCATTTCCTTTTCTAATTGTTGATGATGCAATTTTCCCCCCATTTACTTCTATCGCATTGAGGTTTTAATTATAAGTCATTTTAGTTATTAGGCTTAAGACTTGTTTCAACGATTTGTACCAATTCAACAGCAAACAATATCAGCTGAATCTGCCAAGACCAAGTGTAAGAACTTCCTTGCAACGTTACTGAAGCTTGCTGGAGAACAGAAGCAGCCTGTGGCCAAGAACGTCCGTAGTCTCATTCAAGGTCTCATAGATTCTAAAGTGGAGCCTGAAGCTTTTACTGAAGAATTGCAAAAAGACCTCAACTCTTCTCCACAACCTTGTTTAGTGCCTTTCCTTAAGGTGGGTTCATTCAGATATTTATGCTCATATGCGGAATTATTTGCATACCAAGCAGCTTCTAAACCACGAGTATTATGTATATCTATTCTCAATTAGGGGAATTTCAGTGAATTCATTAATGATCTCGGATTAGTTCCTATTTATCCATCCCTGTGCACATTTTATTAGTTTTTTGTATTGTTACCGATCATTTCTGGACATTTCTCATTGCCAGCAAATTCGTCTCTGCCATCCACATAATATTATTTTATTCGCAATGAAAACCTGAAGATATAATCTTGACTTGATTGCCATTTCACTTGACAGAAAACTCTACCGTTCCTGCGAGCATCTTTAGCGCGTGGCGAGATCACAATAGAAGGAGTGAACCCTCCGCCCCCCAGCAGCATCCCAGTGCAGCCCGGTGCCACCACCGTCATCCCTACTGTGAGCGCAGCATTTCAGGGCTTGAACTTATCATATGCTTGTCACTTTATTTTGCTTAGTTTTATTTTGGTTTTAATCTATTGATTGGATCTTTACCTTAGAATAGCTTATGTATATTTTTCATTTATTCTCAGCATGTAATTTGAAACATATTGTATGTCATAAAAGTGTCTGGAATAATTTGTGGTAAATATGATGGTATATATAACATTAAACCAATTATACTTTGTAAAGAGGAAACTTTGAATAAGAATATAAATCTTAATAGATATTTTTTATAGTGCTTAACCGCTATTTTATTTTACAGGCTCCCGTTTTAAGGGCGCCCATAGTGCAGCAGCAACAACCGCAACCTCAACAACAGCAAATTAGGTTAACAAAGACAGCTGTAGTGAACAATGTAGTGGGCATCCGACCGCCTGTCAATACGATGGTAGTGCAGCAGTCTCTACACCCCGTGGTGAACGCTACTACCGCCCCTACCACCATATTGCAGGCTAACTCTAACTCTGCTACACATAACGGTACTCCTGCTACTGCCCCCTCCCCTCTACCGCCCTCGTCTGTAAACAGCAGCAGGTCTGTTGTGTCCGTGCAGGCGAGCAAGAACAACAAGGACAGGTTTAAGGAAAAGCAACAACATCAATCATATGCCTTCAAGTAAGTTTACGTGATTCAATACAAGTTAGGTACTTAACTTCAAATATTTGCATTGATTATCTCCAGTTCTTTGGTTTTGTTGTGTGTAGAGTTACTTTTCGAAAGCTCCACATTGTTTACTTGTGCTAGCTATAATTATGTAGGTATATCTTTACTTAGTTCTTCTATGAAAATTTGACAAATACAACGACGTCAAAAAAAATGGCTAAATCTTTTTTATTTTTCTGCCTATTTTTCGTATGGTGGTGAAAGACATAAATTTATAGTGTTAAGAAACGTGGATTAGATGAGTTTAAACCAAATTATGATCCATGACACGATGACATCTCTGAGCGTTGTTTGTTGTTGGTTGCATAGCAGTGCAGCTGACGACGATATCAACGACGTGGCGGCGATGGGTGGCGTGAATTTAGGAGAAGAAAGTCAAAGAATTCTGGACTCAACGGGTTTTGTGGGCACGCAAATTAGATCTTGCAAAGACGAAGTTTTCTTATTACAACAGCCGCTGGCACAGCGGTTAAAACAAATATGTAAGTAAACTACTGTACCCTGCCCCAGCATAATTTTACCCTGACCTACACTCTTCTACCCTGACTTATACCTTTTTACCGTGATCTACACTCTTTTACCCTGATCTACACTCTTTTACCCTGACCTACACTCTTTTACCCTGACCTACACTCTTTTACCCTGACCTACACTCTTTTACTCTGACCTACACTCTTTTACCCTGACCTACACTCTTTTACCCTGACCTTCACTCTTTTACCCTGACTAGTCCTTACCTTCGTGTTCTAGTTGCTGCCATAACATTCTAAGTTCCAAATTACTGTTTATCGATGTGATACGGTATTGTGCAATAATCTATATTTCGCTTTATTTATTTTTACAACACTTCTCTTTAACTTCACTTCTTGTCTGTCTGTCTGTCTGCTACAAATCTTGTAATCGAAATTTAATACACTTCTACTTATCCTATCGACCTGAAATTTTGCACACTTGTGTAAAGTTGGAGACAATGAAAAAAATTATATATTAAAAAATTTATATATTAAAAAAAATGAAAAACTAAATTTTTAATTAGAAAATTAAATGAAAAATTCGTTGTACATTTGTGAGATTGGAGACACTGGATTCTTTGGAAGTGTTGTCTTTAAAAATTAATTTTTAAACGCATATTATTTATTTAAGTGTTATGAATATTTTTGTGTTTCATGCTAGACACCTGCGATTAATTCTTGTTAGCCTTTGATTACTGAACAATTTGTTTATGTAAACATGAACTGTGTCCAATGCGATTTGCGTTTAAAGGGCTTGGTACATGCCTAGTTACCCGTCAGTTTAAAGGATACGCTTCGTGCTCAAGAATAAGAGTCTAATAATACTTGTGTTTTACAGGTAGCAAACACGACATGGAAGAGCCGAGCAAAGAGTTCAGCGCACTCTTGTCACATGCAGTGCAAGAGCGTTTAAAAACCGTTATAGAAAAACTTTCTGTCATTGCTGAGCATAGAATAGATATTATAAAGGTGAGGCCTCCATTTGAGTGCATGACAATGGCTGTTTTATTTGAAGAGTTTAATTTTTACGATATTGAGTGCTGTTACAAACATGTTCATTATCAATTTTATCCATTGAAACTTAAATGTGAATAAATAAGCTGATATAAAAGTAAAAGAGACTGGCAACCAAATGAATTGATGATGTTGAAAAAAGTTGTAATATTTTATTGGCCAATGCAGATATTTAACCTGGAAATAAAAGGGCATTAGTGAAGAACATGTTTGTTTTGCCGTGCAGAACGAGCCCCGGTACGAGGTGCTACAAGACGTTAAAGGCCAACTACGATTTTTGGAAGATCTCGACAGGCTCGAGAAGAAACGTAAAGATGAAGTCGAACGCGAGATGTTGCTCAGAGCTGCCAAGTCCCGTAACAAAAACGAGGATCCTGAACAGGCTAAACTCAAAGCTAAAGCTAAAGAGGTGAGTTATCGCAATAGGCATGAGATTTTTGTTCTAAAATTAAGTTGTAACGAATACGTTAGAACGTTATTAAACAATTTATTAGGAACGACCAAATATCCAGCTGACACAATGCCTTTCCAGCATAATCGTAACTTATTTGATGGGTGTGTATAAAATTTTCATCAGTTAGTGACGTGGCTGTTTTGAAGATTTCCAATGGGATTTTTTACTAGTGTGGTTTAGAAGTGCCAGCGAACCAAATGCAATACTAACTACGGCCTCGCATCAGCAAACTCAATTTAATTATACATATAACGAAATTTTCTCCAAAGGCAATGCAATACTACGTTAATTACTTTTACCAACAGATGCAACGGGCAGAAATGGAGGAGATGAGGCAGCGAGATGCTAACATGGCGGCCCTCAAAGCCTTGCAGGGACCCAGGAAAAAAGCCAAGGTCGACAACGCAGATGATGTGAGTCGCTAAAATATGTCGTGTTTGTAGCCAAATCTGAGATTTTCAACTGTAGTATGGCTATAACTCTTACAATTCTTTAATACATTATATTTGCTTCAGCGTGTTGAACCCTCACTTGAGATATTAATTATCGGTGTTAAATGACTTAAAATAATTTTTTGGCACTCTCATATCAAAGACCATGAAATTTACATTGGTTATATTAAGTATAGGATATCAGTGACAAGGGACACGCCACCAGGCGCTATAAAATTTTGCTTACTTGTGAAAAAAAACTTATTTTTATTTTCCAGAGTGGATCTTTCAGTGGGACTTTATCTCAGAAACAGGTATGTTCATTGTGCATGCAAGGCCAATTTCGATCTGGTGCATATTTTACGTTGATAACATTTTTAAATTTTGTATCGATACATTTTTCACATTCATTTTTTGTGATGGCACGTTAAATGACGCCCTGATCATGTACCTTGAAGGACGGAATTAATTTAAAGGGCATTTAATTTTCATGTCAACTGTTTGTCTCATAACGTTGTCATGATCAAAGTTTAGCTGTTGTTTCCATTGAATGTGTTGGACTGAAGTGCCTTCTCTGCAGATGCCGCTTCGGCAGCGCACCAAGAGAGTCAACATGAGAGATTTGACTTTCCTGATGGAGCAAGAAAAAGACCTCAACAAATCTAATTTACTTTATAGAACTTATCTTAAATAGCACCCACCTCTAGGAACTTGAATTGTTATTTGAATTTGTAGCGTTAGAGAAAAATAATTATTTATGTTTAACATTATTCTTAAATGACTAATTAGAATGAAGTAAGTGTGATGTCTAAGCTTTATGAGGTTTCGTTGGTAAAGTTCACACGATATTCCTTTGTCAGGTAGCAAATATTTGTGAAAGATCTAGCTGAAGTGCGGTCGCTTTTCTGATAATTTTGAATTGGTGGTGCATTACCATTTCCCAGCTACGTCGTGTTCTACTCTCTGTACATATTTATTTCCATATCTTCTTGCCGGGTAGGTATCGTGAATAGTTGGCGTGTTCTGATAATAGAATACATGTTATTTTTTATACGAAAAAGCGCGTCGCTCTTTATTTCAAAAAATTTGCACATAATTTTTGTTACTGAAATTATCCGTGTTTTTAGTGGTGTTTTTTTTAGGTGGACATGCGATACTGGGCTGGTGAGCTTGGGGGTGTGTTCTGCTTGGGTTGCTAAACACAATGCTACAATTGGCTTTTGTTAGACAATCGGCAAATGGACTTCTTAGTCTGGATTTGCCCAAATTGTTCATTTCCATTTTAGCTAATATGTGTCGGTCGTTCTCAAATATGACAAAGAAAGATATGGGCCGTGTTGTTGATTTCTGGGTTATTTGTAGGTGACTTGTATCCAAGTTTCCTATCAGAAGACAGGCGCTCGAATGAATGCATCGATGATGTGATGTGTGCGCCCTCACGGCCGAGCTTCTACTCAATACATTGTAGTTTATTACTGATTGCAGCAACTCTGTCACTGGCCAATTAATGCCTTCTCATCAGCAATGCCTGAAATCAATGTTAGAAGCGTTGTGCTCCTATCACCGAATGTTTATTTATTTGATGAACCTTGTTACCTAAAAGAGCTCTGAATATGATGCACTTGGTCAGTCAACTCGGCCCATTGAGTCACCGAAAAGCGATCTGTGTTTGTAATTTCGTCGCTCAATTTCGATTTTAATCTCAAGATTTTACGCAGCGCTATTTGACTTCTCCGTCATTTTCCAAAAACTTAACAATTTAACTTTTTGATGCTGAAAACGAGTTATTATTCTCCTGTCAGCTCTTCTTCACAAGTTTATTGAATCACATTGATTCAGAAATTTCATATTGCATTTTTTTGCCGTGATTAATTAACTTACAATTTAGTATCAAAGAAAATAACGAGAGCGGTCGTCATATTTACAACGAAACCGTTTCAGTGGCCTCCTCCGCAGTCAGCTCAGTAATACAAAACATGTAGGATTATCAATTTACATGACTAAATTACCTCAGGGGACACTTGAAACCCAACTTGAGAAATGAAGTGACGTCAAAACTTGTAAGAATGTCAAGCAAATGAGAAATGTAAGGATTGTCCAGGCGCGGTTTCCGTTTTAGAAAAAATAGTCATGAATTCAGCGTCGTCTGAATGAAGCTGAAATTATAAAATGCATTTGGGTCACAGTTATGCCCTGCTAATCGCGTGTCATTCGGCAGTTCGTTCGCCCTGCATTCGGCGAACTGCCGAATGACGTAGCTGCGTATGTAGGGAATCTGCTGATGAGAGTTCTTTTTGGAGTTGCTGAATGTTTTTAAACGAGAGCGTTGTATGAAGAACGCGCATAGTTATTATTAACTTGAAAATTTTTTTTGGTAGTTTATGCGACTCTCCACCTTCCATTGGCCGGGTTAGGTTTCAATCTCAATCATGTAAATTCTTGTACTAACTGAAATGCTTAACTTATAAAATTTCCCGACACGTTTAGCTAAAAAATTTGTTATGTTCTCTGAATTTATTTGATTTATTCTTAGCATTTCATGGTGTTCATTAATATAATCTTGTTTTGCGAACTCGTTTGTATCCATCAAGATGCTTCCAAACTCTGCTCCATTTCTTACGAATAAAAGCTCTCAATTTCTCCTCCAACTTAAGCGTTGCAAAAGTTTCACGATGCTGGGACGTCGCGTCTGCTCGGAAATTTGTGTTGGTAAGTCACTTCATAAATTATGGTATTGCCACTCCTAATGTGTCATTTATGTTGATTTTTATAGAATAGTTTTTTTTTATTTACGGCACGAATGATGGTAAAAAAAAGTGTCGAAACACATGCAAGAGATATTTATTGTACCCCGTTTCTTTAGTTCGAAAGATTGAGCAAAAAATTGTGATTTAATGTGTGTGAGGAAGAAGGGGTTATTGACAATGGAAGTGCCCGCCAAATTTTAGGAGCAAGATTGAGACTGCATTGTTGCCACGGTTGGTTGTAGACATCAGCTGCCAACCATGGCCGTGGTCTTCTTGGTATTTCACTTCTCGCCTCTGCTCGTGGATTGCTACTGACGTGGCTTGTTCTGGCTCGTTGACGCTTGTTGAAAGTGCCAAGACTTTGTAATATTATGGCGAAATTTAATCGTCTTAAATTTTTTGTCGGCTCTTCAGATAAATAAGATTGTGTTTCCTATTGATTACAATCATTGCATAGTCGTAAGTCTTCTTCGTAAATAGTTATTCTTTCTGTACGAACTATTATCGAATTATTCACTTAAAATAATTGAGGAAAAATGTTCTATGAAACGCCCGTCGCGATAGTTGTTGAATTGTTCCAAATTAAACACTTGTGCTGCTGCAATTAACTAGAGTGTTTTCCCCAGACAGTTTTTCAACGCTAGTAGTTATTATTTAATAAACCTGTGTTGAGGAGCCGAATTATTTATGTTAATGTACCTGGCTGTTTTTTATTATGTGTATTCGAGTGAAAGAATCCAATTTTGGGCACGAAATATCAATGTACTTTCATATAATGCCTGGCGGGTAAAAAGCGTTCTTCACTCCTAAACCTGATCATGTAATTAGGAAAGTCATCTTTGTGAGCATAGGCCTGTATCCGTCCTTGTATGTAATCTTAATTTGCGCTCGACGAATCTAGGTTCTGTTAAATTTAAAGTTTTATTTTATTCTGGCTTGCGTAAAGTTTTGATTTGTTATGAGCGATAGTTTCGTGGAAGTAAAATGAAACGCGACTCGCCTCTATTAGTCTTCCAGCAATCTCGAACAATTAATTATTATATCTGGATCACAACGTTAGTGACAATTATATTTAATTCATTATTGAGCTAACTCTAAAGTTTCGATTAAGCGAGGGAAATTTCCGTCATTTGAAACTAACCCTGCTCTGAGATGAATTTCACAACATACGTTCACGTTTTAAATAACTGTAACCCTGACCTCATTGTGCTTCTCTCAAATGAGCTAATAACATTGTTTGTATTTTTAGATGGTAAAGCTTTATAATTTCTAGCTGACTTATCTTGAGTTGCGCTACATGGGAAAAGAGTCGCTAATTTTGAGGCAGGTGTCTGTACGGTTTAGAATTTATAAATTAGAAAGAGAAACGCATTAACGTGCAAGATTGAATAAAATGTGAACTATGTAGCTGATCTGTTTATATCTGATCAAGGATGCAGCGTACGAGCGCCGAAATCTGAGTGACTGGTTTTACGTATTGCAGAAGCGATATTTTTTGCACATCTGTTCATTCCAAAACTGTTAGCCAAGCACAGTCCAATCATTTGACATCTCTGAATTAAAATTAACATACAATCAGCCCAACATACTATTTAATAGGGCTTTAATAGTTATTTTCGACTTCGTTAAAATTTTTATTCAACGCCTGCTTAAATTAGAAAACTATCGCAATGTGGCCGTAAGTAGTCAGTTAATGTGGGGAGAGGAAAGATGAGCGTGGTAGTACGCCTTTTTTTGTATGCATTTCTGAGTAATGATCTCAAATCCTGTGTAATATTTGTATAGGGAAGACTCGCGCATTTTGTAAAAAGTGTTTTGTTTATTCTCAGCAATTTTGTCAACTTGAAAGTCTGTCTCCTGACGGCTATGTTGCCTCCAGATTCCTTGCGATTTTTTTTCCTTTTAGTTTGTGAATGAGGATGATTGAAAAAGTGTAATATCTAAAGTTTTGACTGTTCATTATTGTGTATCACGTATGGAATTTCATTAAAAGGATATTCTGGTAATAGGGAACATGCCTTGTGTATATAGACTTTTTAATGTTAAACTCATGTACAGCCCTGCTTCGCGGCACTCGCTTGTTGGAACGAGAAAATCTACTTTAAAGTATGACTTAGTGCAGGCATACTGTATATAATCCGTAAGATACGCTTCCTCGCTTGAATTTGTGTGTGCAGCGATTGCAGGCGGATGTAATTTGTTGTATTTTAGAACGTTTTTTTTTCACTTCCTCAACCCCTACGACATTGAGATTTTCAGGCTTCCGTGCTGGTTTTAGTAAAAATTTCTGTTCATCGAACATTAGACAGAAGTACCGCATTTACCAATGCAAGCGTTGGTGCAATCTTTTTTTCTTGTAGCCGTAACAGCTGTTGCCTTGTAAGCTGTTCCTGATCCACATCGGACTGAAGCTTCAAAAGAATGTTTGTGCTCCACATGTAAAATTTATTTCGAAAGAAAGAACCTCAGATTGCTTTAAGCGTTAATTTTTGTCGTGTGATTTAGTCCGAGAAGCGCGAGTGTATGTTTTGTGTGTGCCTTTGTCGTAGATAAGCTCCCGACAGCACGTAAATCTCGTGAGATACCAGAACCCTGGGCAATGCTTGAACTATTTTGCGACTAGATAAGCAACAGGCAATGCCATAAGCAACAATTCCGACTTACACACGCTGTTAGCTCATTTCGTACGTGAAACGTTTCCTGTCAAGTTTCTATTCGAGATATTTTATACCAACTACCAGCATATCATCTTTACTTTCAAAAAATCTTTCTAGCGTAAGACTCGACAAAATGGGTTAGTTCATGTCCGTTTGTAAATGGGTGGATTTGCATGGTTCCATCATTGCGGTCATAGATGCAAGTAGCAAAGCCGGCGTATTTATTTGTCGATATATTGGAGAGCTCATGAAGTTTTCCACAGCAGTTCCTGATTTCGACCACTGTTCGCGTCACAATTTGTGTTCTCTGCACACCTTGAATGCTATTTGCACTATTACTGGCAGAGATTGAATTTTACTGTGATTACCCATTGTGGGAACTTGGTTCTTGTGTTGTAATTTTCTTCTCTAATGTGTTTCTTCTGTTGTTCAGGAGCGCACTCATCAAAACTGGCATAATGGGCGCTAGAATTTGACGTGATCTTTTTTTCTTCGTTACACAATTATTGTAACTAGTCTTTGGAATTAGCCTCAGTGTTGTCGGTAAATTGCTTACGTTTTCCTAATTTCTCTGCATCTTTCGGAATATCCTTTCCGTTCTTAGATTTATTATGGTTAATACCACTCGGTTGATGTTTAGTGTAGTTTTTTTATTTATTATTTAAATCCATGTTATTAGGACACTATTTTATACTGTTGTTCTTCCATGTTCCCACGCACTCAAATGGCGCAAGACACGTTCATTTGTCTTAAGAAGTCCCCGAAAAAAATGTCATAATTTATTTGTATGCAATTGAGTGATTGGTGCGGTTCTTGACATGTTCGTTCGCATTTTTTCTCCTTCCAAAAGTAATGAATCTTCCAAAATATAGTGTGCCTGACGAGCACGGAGGTGTCGCGCACCACAGCCCTCGAGTAATCCTTGAGGAATATGATCGCTGTAGATTATTGTTTCTCTAAATTACGTGAAAAATGCTTTGATTCGAGTACAATATTTCGACTGTAATGAATGATAAGGGTAGGATTTTTCTTTAAAGTTTTATAGAATGTACCACAAAAGCTAATAGACTATACCAGCTAAATGTGTTCAGCAAATAACCTTCATATCTAAAACAAATTATGGTATGTATGATGAAATGCAGTGATGATCTTAAAACAATTGAACATCTATCATTCGAGAGTAAATGTCACCAGAGAAATGTCAATCACCCGAAGCAATCGATCAGTAAAAAATAGTAAGAAACTAAAAAAATGAAGCGTGAATCATTAACAGATATTTCATATGATAAAAAACTTCGCATGTTAACTACTTTATCTTTAGAAAATTCTTAAAATTACATCAATATTCTTCACAAAATTAAATTCAACTAATATAAAAGTGGCATGCACATGGAGTTATATTGGTCGGCGTAGTGGCCTAGAAAACCAAGATAACCATTTTTTATTAATTCGCTCTTTGATGAATCACCAGGGCGGAAAATTCTATAAAATGACTTCGGTAATTAAGCTTCTTTCAACGTAGCAACCATCGAGGTTTTCATTATTAAACTATGACTTATAGAACAGGTCATTACTTGTTCATCTTCTATCGTATATTAAACTAAACAGGTAATAAGAACGAATATCAAATCAGCAGGACGGGAAGCCGAGAGGAGGCTTAGGCATGTCTGTTGCGTTGCCGACCTGCAGGACGAATGCTTGCCCCACGGCCGCCTGTAGGAGCACCTGACTTTCTCCCAGCCAGAAACCTGAGGATACGTTACGATTGGTCAATATTATTACATTGAAGGCAAAAAAACATTTTCACGTACAATAAACAAATAATATAAAAAAAATTAATGGAAATTCACTCGGAGTGTATTCCTACAGATGTTGAGCACATTCTTGTGGTAGGAGAGATTTTTAGGAATTGTAACTTCGTGTTGTTTGCGTTCATTTGCGCATGTCAAATAAGTCGAGAAATTCACACAATTTAAATATAGATCAGCCCTACCGGATTTTTTAGCAATGATATCCTACGTTCCAAAATAAAGTCGACCTTACAGGCGCAGACTAAACGTTATCACACTACAATTATTGCTGTCAATAGTTATAGGCTCTTGAAAAATTTCTGGGCAGAAAAAATTTGTTAGCGCTAATAAAAGTAATGGAATTAATTACATAATTCGCGCATAGTCTCATAAGGAACGCAAAAGCTAGAAGTTTTCAAGCAAAGATGAATCTAAACAAAGTGTTAAAAATCTCACCTTTATTATGAGCTTGGAAGCGTACGATGGTGTAGCCTCCCGGAGGAATCATGATCGTATCCTTCATGATGGGGTGCCAGAAGTTCCTGACGAGGAGGTCATTTTTAAACATGTTGAGTGCATGCAAGCGCGTGAAGCCGTCTGCGTCTGAGGGCATGGGTAGACTCGTGTCAGTTTCGTTGCTGGGAGCCTCAGGAGTCGTGGATGTGGTGTCTGTGATTGTGGTGTCTGTGGTGGTGTTGGTCACGTCGCTACGAGGCTGCGTGATGTTGGCGACGGAGCTGTTGTAGATCGCCTGCCCCAGCACCCAGAAGCGGTGACCGTGAAGGTGGAAAGGCTGGGGCAGAGTTTCGTTGGCCAGGCCTGTACCACAGATATGGAATCAATGGAGAGTAATGAGGTTGAACAAAGGTTCGTCATTCTATCATCAAATGGGAGATCTTTGCTAGAAATGTCGTGCAATGCTTCGTCTAGGAGAAATCGTAATTTTGTATACGTATGCCTAAAATTAGTAATAAATAACCATGCAGAAGCTGTCTCCAAAGATGCAATAATACCTTGCTTTGGATAACCACAGACGTATCGCGAAAAACGCTATACCAAAATTTATTCATATATTGCATTATAACTAATTATTAAAAATTCTATTTTAATACATGAAGAAGTGGTTCAAGATTAAAAAATATTAATTAATGGCTCCTAAGCCCAGGCCACATCAGTCCTACAATTCAGCGCCGAGATCACTATGTTATGTTAAGTTCAAGTCGTTTTCAAGACTTTTCAATGATACCTTCGTTAATAAGGACGAGCTCGACAACGTCATTGACTTGCACTTGGTGGATGTGGAGACACTCGCAGTAGTCGCCGACGCAGTGCTTACGACGCACGCCGTCCGCCGAACACGACTCCCGCCTCAGCGGCGACTGGTCCATCAGCAGCGGCTTGGCCGGCAACTTCAAACTCAAGTTGTTTACTTGGGGCGTGCGAGAGCGCTTCTTGGGGGGCACTGTTGTAACAAGTCAAATCATATAAAACACCGACGGGTTTATTTCATAAAATATTCTTCGAGTAACAGTAATACGAGATGAGTAAAGGTGCAAAACGTTGCCTATAATACGAAAGTAAATCATCAGTACTCTAAATTCGTTACATTTGACCGAATTTGACCAGTTTGAAGAATTAAAATTCGGTTCATTCTTGCTAGCAAAAAGTGTTCACTATAATCATGATTCGTGTATATTCCTTTGCACTCTTGAGGTAGTATTCCTATGGATTACTATTCCAATGGTATAAGTAACCTCGAACGATGATATACATGCCAAAGTAGATTAATAAAAGCTTACTAAAGTCAGGACCGTAGTAGAGCAGGCTGTAGAAGTGGCTGTTGTACACAGGCAAGGCACCGAAGGCCAGGAAGAACGTGTCCTCCACCCACGGCTCCATGAGGTGGCCGGGCAGAGGCTGTAGAAGTGGCTGTTGTAGACAGGCAAGGCACCGAAGGCCAGGAACAACGTGTCCTCCACCCACGGCTCCATGAGGTGGCCAGGCAGCGGCGCGTACAGAATAGATTGCATCTCGTGGACGCATGTGATGTTCACGCTGCTGCAGTCTTCAGAGTGAGTGTTGGCACGCTGGTGGGTTTGTGATGTATTTAAGAAATTGTCGAATGTACGTAACTCATTTGTTCGAATACAAATGAGCATCTCATTTAAGAAATTGTCAAATGTAGGTCATTTGAAACTCGTTAAAGCAATTGTCAAATGCCTCGATCATGCTGACATCTTATGTCTGGAATATGTTTTTCACACAAAAAATAACCTTTTAAGGGAATTAGCGAAACAATTATTCCAGGTTTTGATACATCGAAAAAAGGGCAGTTACCGTATATACCTATGCTCCTTTTCGAATGCACCCAATTAAATGCTAATTTTATGACCCAAATATGATGAAAGTTCACAGCGATCGTTATTTACCAGCGCAGAATCATCGGATGTTATAATGTCGTCCGTAGGAACGTCAATGCTCTCCTTAGCAGATTCCATATCTGCGGGAGGAGCCGGTGGATCCTTCGAAGTAGAATTGGTGGCATTGGCACCCTCGACCAAAGGATCTGGCACTGAAGATTTGTAGGAGAGAATGACGCTCTGTGATTGTCCGTCGCATTCTCCTTCCCCCAGCACGGTTAACCAGTACAGGCCCGGCGTCTGGTCGGCTACCAGCACCACGTCCCAGCGCTCACCTATACAAGTGAACCTCGCAAATAAGCCAGGTATATATTAAAAATCGTAATCAGTTTAATTCAAGATCTAGTGATATACTTCACAGTTTTTGAAGTACATGAGTCAGTGCTATATTCCTTAAATTCAATCGAATACAAAATATAGAATAAATGACTAAAATAATTTTTTTAGTTAAGATAAACATTATTCTAGACGACTCACTTCTGAATTAATAACTTAAACGAGGAAAAAAGCTCCATCACTACTGAAATTTTTCATTATGAAAAACAAAAAAATAAAAAAGCCGTCCGCACTACATATGAGTAGTAACAATGTATTTGAGATAATGAACTAAAATATAAGTGGAGAAAGTTAAATGCATTCTCTATCCGGACGAATTTAAGTAGATATCTTTGAAAAAATTTATAGTGTTAAATAACTTAAGGGTAATCGCAAATAGCTAATTCGTCTTATTGAATAAGGCAATAGTACCCACAGGGGCGAATTCATCTTATTGAATAGCTCAATATTAATAATAAGCATGAGTAATTAGGCTTCACACAATGCCTCCATGTATAACTTCATCACAATCACTAACCGTTGTAGACAACAAGTGAGTGCGTGTAGAAGGCCGAGACGCTGGAGCCGTCAGCGGCGATGACGGTGAAGTTGTGGCCGCGGGGGGCGACCACCCTCAGGGGGCAGTTCAGGGACGCCGCGTTGATAAGACGCACGCGGTACCGCTGGCCTGGCAACGCGCGTTACGGATAACATTAGTTAATCTCAACAGGTTCAGGTTAATATCAACAGGTTCAGATTAATCTCAACAGGTTCAGATTAATCTCAACATGTTCAGATTAATATCAACAGGTTCACATTAATATCAACAGGTTCAGATTAATATCAACAGGTTCACATTAATATCAACAGGTTCAGGTTAATATCAACAGGTTCACATTAATCTCAACAGGTTCAGGTTAATATCAACAGGTTCACATTAATATCAACAGGTTCAGATTAATATCAACAGGTTCACATTAATATCAACAGGTTCAGGTTAATATCAACAGGTTCACATTAATCTCAACAGGTTCAGGTTAATATCAACAGGTTCACATTAATATCAACAGGTTCAGATTAATATCAACAGGTTCAGATTAATCTCAACAGGTTCAGAATAATCTCAACTGGTTCAGATTAATATGGAGATGATTAGTATTGGAGAAACGTTTCAGTAGTAGTAGTCTATTTAAAGTAATATTAATAACTTTTTACAGTGAATAACTTATTGTCATATTCATAAAAAAGGCAAACAATTTTAGAGCTTGGCTGAAGATAAGATATGATTTTTGCCCAAATATATGTAAATGCATGAAAAATCTATGGAAGACGGAAAAGTGGTAGAAGATTTCTCAGAAACTGATGCTTAAATTCACTTAGCAAAAGAAGATAAAATAGAATAAACCAAAAGAACAAAACACGAGCGTAGCATTCACGTGAGCACGTGTAGAGCATAGTTTAAAAGTAAATTTTATATTACTTAGATTAAAGCAATTAAAAATGCAATGTAAATGAGAGGAATTTGCGATAAACTGTTTAGGTCGTAAACTATACAGTTATGTGAATTACCCTGCCATTGATGAGTAAGGTGGTGGCAGGCGTGTTCTCTCCATTCATGAACCTCTCAGCGTACACAGACTCTGTGCTGTGGGCAGCCAAGTCACTCATCTGCAAACATGGATTGGAGGAATTACGCTCAATATTTTATAACTTATGAATAATTTACTTAATGTTATAAAAACAATGCAGCTTAAAATGAGTCTAATTTTTAGGAATCTAAGTACAATTAAGTTTCATACACCATGACACAACGTATCGAATTATTTTCCGTATGATGATCGAAGACACAAAAAATCTAATCGATTACGGTATTTTTTTCATCTCATTTAACAACACTAGAAAAAAATACATTTGTATGTTTAAAACATGAAGCTGATACTTGAGTCACTGAGCACTAGTGACATTTTTGTCAATGTGTCAGTGATATAGTCTTTACAACTCATTCAATGCAAGATAATATACTCATCATATTGTTTATGCAAACAAAAACTTTCACTGCTATACACTAAAGGAGAGTCGCAGATCAGTACCATGCACTCACCGTGAGCACGTGGGCACTGAGGTCGTGATCATAGAAAAGTTTGTTAGGAATTTCATCGTCAGGCTTGCGGACGATTAGAGGGCCAAATAATCCGTCTCCTCGTTGAAGTCCTGAGTAATGGCAATGTTAAAGTTATATTAGTGAAATAAAGAGCGTAAATAATCAAACTTAGAGTTAAGTGGGAACAGCATATCGAGGCAGTCAATGAATCGCGTTATTTACTAAAACAAACCACCTTCACTTCAGTACACTTTTATATGCATTCAAGTTGAGTTTCCCTATCAATGACTGAATGATAATGTTCATAATAGTTTCTGTCCAGACAAGTAAAAGTTTCGAAATAGTCGAACAGAAAATTATAAAGAATTCAAATGCGTTCTTGCCAACACAAGTAATTGTACAGTCCACCAAACAAGAAAGAAAATTCACAATTTTGTCATAGCCAGATTAAGGTGGAAAACAATACGTACAAATTTGCAAATTAGAAATTACCTATTATGTATGCATACATTATAAGTGAAATTAAATTATTAACTATTTTAATAAATCTCAGATACGATAAAAATTTTCGTTTTCAACCCGTAAATAGCGCTGGAAGGATCACATTATACCTTCTTGTCCATGCCAGAAATGTGTGCCCGGGAAGTTGGCTTTGAAGGAATACATGAACTTGTCCCGAGGCCTGAGCGTGCACTGCGTCACGCCGCTCACGCCGTCCATGTATTGGTCCCCGTCCATGGTGAGGCCGTGCCAGTGCAGCGTCACTCCTGACGCCGGCAGCGCGTTCTGCACCTCCACCAGCACCCGGTCGCCGTGACATACCTGTCATGCATCCACCTTAGTATCAACTATGAATTATCTTGCTTTTATAATCTTGAAATTAAATGTTATATGTTTTAATTATAAAGTCTTCAGTGAGCATCAAGACACAGTAACTAAATTTAAGATAATGAGAATTATACAGTTGGGTATCAAAATTGACAGTTAGATTTCATTTTTCTAAATGAAGTCAATGGTAGGTATTGGTTATATACCAAACGCTCTTCTGTACATTTTTAAGTTGGAAGTGATTTAAGGTAAAAAGCGAGTGTAAAGCGTCACAAGCTCACCAGAAAGTAACTAGTTCAGTCACTAAACCCAGAAACGAAACCCGGTCTAAAATAGCAGACCTCGATGGCGGGGCCAGGCAGTTGTCTGTTGACCACCGTCAGGAGACGGCGTTGCCCTGCGCCCACGACGCACTCCGGACGAAGGCAGTCCGTCAGGTTGCGAGGACAATCATAGCAAGCCCTGACAGTCAAGCGTTATTTCAGTACAAGAATACGGAATATTTGCGGAAGATATATAGGAATGTTAGAGGAAAAGAGCAGATTTTTATTGTCAAAAATAATGCATCGATGTAATTGAATAGAATATATATATAGGAATATCAGAGGAAAAGAGCAGATTTTTATTGTCTAAAATAATGCATCGATATAATTGAATAGAATAAAAAGCGAGACATAATACCTGGAAAGAGTCTGGTAGAGATGGACTCTGAAGTTGAACAAGCAGAGTTTGGTGTCGTTGGTGCGGCACACTCTAGCACAATCGCTGCCTGCGCGAGTTATAAAAGATTTTTATGATATTGAAGTGGTCAAGGAAGAACTCCGAAAAATAAATTGTTGACTGTGATTTCATGATGCTGAGACTACCCAACAGAAATGGCGATCAGTGGTGTAAAAAAAAATAAGTTAAAAGTACCAATTCGGCATAATAAATGAAGTAGAAAGATAATGGCTTTTTCCAAACGGGCTAATGCTTTTGAGGCTCAATATTTTTGGCAAATCCTTCGATCGGTTTGTTTTCCATTTAACGAACACAAATACGATTAGATTCATTTTATTCAATTCCAAAACATGACTGCCATCGTTGCACTACGCAGCATGTAAAAAAGCACGTAACTCTCCTTCCAGTACAAATATTATGAATCTTATAGAATAGAATAGAAGTGTCGGCGTTGAAGAAATAGGCCCATGGCCTGTTGCCGATTCTTAAACTTTTCGTGACTTGATTCACAAGGGATCTGGCCTTTGGAACCCGATCTTTCCATAGCTGACGATTGATTGAGATAGCTGCTGGACTTATTACCTGGTCCGTAATTTGCTAGGCATTTTAAGACTGAACATATGCTCCTGCATAGCTTCGTCTAGTCTGTTTTTTGAAGATGTTACATAGCTTTGTCAAAGTTTGTGCGTTTGAAGTATGTTGCTGGATATATATGTGACATTGAAAAATGAAGGCGGCTGAAATCTAAAATAAAATGTGATTTGTACTTTAGGACGTACATGATTTCGAATGAAAAATTAAAATTTTCGTACATTTGTAATCAGGGCTAATTGTGAGTTCCGTGCTAAATGCTCTGTGATCTGCGTAGCAACTTAACCTTGACTCTGGACATTGATCAGTGTAGGCCTCAAGGCGTCTCTCCTTTAGCCAATAAAATATGACCAACTGAGATGTCCTCCTTGAAATTGACTTCAATTGAGCTCAATAGGCGGAGTGGAGAACCAAGGAGCTCTGCGTGCCTCGCACGGCTTTTGATTCTCGTGGACAATGATTGCAATGAACTACGCCGTACGCAGAATTACCGCAAGCGTAATACTTCGTACATTTAAAACAAACTATATGGCATCAATATATACATTGTATTGCGTATCTTCAAGCTAAAACGACCGCGGAAGAAAAAATTGGAATGTAGAGCGAATAGAAAAACTTTTTATTCACTGAAATTAAGTAAATTTTTTAGTTTCATAGATACATAAATGGCACCAAACGCAAAATGCATCGACAACTTAGCGGCTACGTTTAAATATTTTGTTAAGAATAGCTTTGCCATGATTGGAAATTTTTAATTTATATAGAGATATTGATGATATTCAACGTCTGTCAGATGAAACGGGCGATAAGCTCCTCCTATAGGGTCAAATACGATTTAAAATGTAGATTGTGTTTGAAATATTATAGGAAAACAATGAGCGCTGGTCCCATTTCAAGAGAATTTCTCTATTGGAGTTGAATATCGTAAAAAAATAAATTCATTGAACGATTTTGTCTCCAAGCATCACAAAAAAGGGTTGTAGCTGAGTCATGGTGATGTTTGAAGTTGGACAGACAAAAAAATTCCTATGTTTTTCATAGGAATGAAGTTCATAATGAAGCTAACGTTCTAGTATAAATTAGCGTATCAAAGGCACAACCTGACATATTAAGGATTGTATTCACTGCAAAACAGTGATCATTTTCACATCAGGACTTGCTGATAGTTTATCAAATTGACAATTTACCCTGCGTTCAAATTGAATATTGATTATCACGTATCTTTCCTCAGTATGCATTAAAACTATCGTTATTAATCGATCAAATTCTGTTACACATACATTTTTCCAAATATCACACATACATTAATAAGTGAATCGAGTTCTAACTTACCGGCAGTTACGTTCAAGTTGCGTAGGTCGAGGTTGGAACTGCCATAGTGAGAGCTGAATGCAGCATGCCGTCGCTGTGTCCTATGCTGATACTGACGCATGAACTTTTCGATGGTCTCTTCCCGGAGTTCGTAGCCTAGTTTATGGCTGAAGTAGATTTTGGCTGCTCCGAGGCCAAACTTCATAGCGTACTTGGCTATTTGGATCTTTACATAAGCGCCTAATATCTTCTTTGCAACTTTCCCTCCAGTGTGTATGGCTGCTGCAGTGCCTAGTCCTGACATGGAACTGTGGCCGTAGCCGCCATATCCACCGTACCCTCCATATCCTCCACCATACCCACCGTATCCTCCGTAATAACTACTACGATGGCGGGAGAAGATCGAAGGCGAGAAAAAACCTTTCTTCGCCTTCTTTGCAGCCTGTTTTACATTGTTGAAATGAAAAAAATAATAATTATCATGTGAATGAACAACTTTTTTCTAGATTGTTTAAATCAAAGAGTTGAATTTAATGAAACAACACGAGTACAATAAAATGAGAGAGAGACCAACATTTATTAGGTAGCACATTGCGTAACTAGACTTCTATAGATATGGAAATGGCAATTTTCGAACAAGCACTTTTCCTGTGCTAATTGATGAACATCTAAAATGAGGCCAATTTGATCGTTTTAATAAAAAAAAAAAACACGAACTCACTTTGTGTGCAGCATATCCTGCAATGGCAGCCGTCACAGCCTGCTTAACCTTTTGTGTATTGGTTTTCTTGGGTTTAGGGTAAGTCGCAGCTCCATAGTTTGTACCAGGATAATATCCACCGCTGCTGGGATATGACGGTCGACTGCCAGGATACGACGATCCTCCAGGATAGTTGCTTGCCCCTGGATATGACGGTCGACTACCAGGATATGAAGATCCTCCAGGATACGAAGATCCTCCAGGATAGGAAGCACCTCCAGGAGGATAGGGAGCACTTGGATAAGGTCGGACGGGGTAGGAAGATCCTCCGCTTGGATAGGGTGCAGAAGGGTAAGGATAGCCAGTAGATGGTCGTCCAACAGGATAAGAGGCAGAAGGATAAGGTGCATTTGCTGTAGGGTAAGGAGCAGACGCGGTTGGGTAGGGAGCGGAGGCGGTAGGGTAAGTACCAGGAGCGTTTACCCTCCCCCCTGTAGGATAGGGAGCTGAAGCAGTAGGATAGGGAGCTGAAGCGGTGGGGTATGGAGCTGAAGCGGTTGGATAGGGAGCTGAAGCTGTAGGATATGGAGCTGATGCGGTTGGATATGGAGCTGATGCGGTTGGATAGGGAGCTGAAGCGGTAGGGTATGGAGCTGATGCGGTAGGATAAGGTGAACCAGCAGTTGGTCTATTTCCTGTTGGATAAGGCGCGGAAGCTGTAGGGTAAGTTCCACTAGAAGTTGGGTAGGGTGCTGAAGCCGTGGGGTACGTGCCACTTGATGAAGGGCGACCTGCTGTCGGATAGGGCGCAGAAGCTGTTATCCCAGAGCTTGGGAAAGGTGGTGCGGATGGCTTTGTGTTCGACCCTGTACCAGCAATTGCAACACCAGCAGCTGTGCCTCCTACAACAGCTGTACCGACAGCCACCCTTTGCGTATTTCCAGAAGAAGAACTACTTGGACTGTTCCTAGTACTGCTTGTTCTTGTGGAACTGGTACTTGATGACCCTCCTCCCCAAGTCCATCGAGAGCCAGAACCACTGCTGCTACTGGTGGTTGTTCTTCGGCTGCTGCTCCGACTGCTGCTCCTGCTGCTGGATCTGCTAGAACTGCCTCGACCCGGCGAAGGAGAGCGCTTCCTACGATGAAGTTCAGTGAGGGAATCTGTGAGTCCAGAATCTACTCCATCAGCAGTCTCTACCTGATCTTCTAGCAAGTCTCTTAAATTAATTTCCGGTAATTCTTTGACAACGCGCAATACGTTGTTAAAATTATCCATTTCATCGCCTGTTTCTTCAAAGTTGAAACTGGAAATTTTTTGAATGAGATCTGCAGGAAGAAGCGAAGACCCTAAACTTATCGTTTCATCCGTGGGAGAAAGGAAACACTGCAAATGTTTTCCAGAAGATACATTCATGAGAAAATTCTCAGGTAAAAAGCTCTGAACATCAATTTGATGAAAATTTGTGACAAAGTTATTATCGTTGTAAGTATCTATGGAAGAATCAACAGCTCCAGGGTCAAAAGAATCTAAACTCTCAATAAAGTTAGGGTCTTGGAAAAGAGGGTAGAAAGCCGCGAAATCTGTATCATCTGGCCCTATTGATTGGAAATAATCGTTTGGATCATAGGAATCATCGTCTTGACGATGAGAGAGCAGCCCTGGTGCAATACCCCCAGAACGATGATTGCTGGGATGAATTGTTTCAGTAGGTCGAGAATGTGAAGCCTTGAAGCCTGAGGGCCGATATTCAGGAGGAACGGGTCCGTACGGACGAGAATATTCAGGATTGAAGCCTGGCAGCCGGGGCATATTACCATTAAGTTGTAGATGTGGAAGATTGGATCTAGAAAGCTGAGATGCGGAATAAACATCCTGAGGAGGCTTCGTAGTTCGAGGCAACATGAAACTCAGACCACCGATGCTGACATCGTGGTTAGACGGCGCGCTGGAACCTTCATCTCCTCGAGATCGCGGAGCTTCCGTCGCTCGAAACGATTCATATGGACGGTCTTGCAGGTAATGTTGATGATTCCTTAGGAATCCTGCGCCTGAGAAAGATCCTCCTGAAAAGAGATTATCGAAAACTTTCATCCCTAAAGAGCGATTTAGATTTCAATGTTTTCGACGTATTCAGTCATTGTTCGACATTATTTTGCTAGCAGAGATTACGCACAGTTCCACTAGACAAACTGATATCAGTCACAAGGCAACAACACACAGATCTGACTTGGTTGGGAGACCATCACAACCTCATGGATTATTTTAAACTCAAAACTAGAGAATGTACAATTAATTATTCTGAAGCTTTCTAACCGATGATAGGTTCAAAATATGTGTCAGATGACAATAGATTTTCAAATCCACTGATGAAACACTGTACTGAAAAATGATTGCGATCGAACCGAATACAGCACAGGTAAAGATTAATCATCCACTCAACGAGAACAGAAGATAAGCTTGACCTGACTACTCAACCCATTCCCCTATTCAGCCTAAATTTATTGTGCGAGTTCTAACTTTGAAGCATAACGCAAAAAAAACTTATACGAAGACACTATACACGACATCAATTTCTATCTAAAGATTAGGAGCCACTTGAGTTTAATGCAGAACTAATAAAATATTCAGAACTAACATAGAAACATATCACCGACATACAGGTAGAGGTTGGCAGTAATATAAAATTAATAAAATAGAACATATCACCTACCGAGCCACGTTGCTGAAGTGCAGCAGCACGTCACCAACAGGAGGAGGTACGTCGCTCGAGGCTCCATAGCGCACGCCTGCCGGTGCCTCACTGACCGCGCGCTCGGCCACCACCGAATTAACATTGCAGGCAAACCCCGATTCACTTTAACTTCATTGCGCAGCAATAAATGTTATGCATTTTATACCCGTAATTCCTTTTGACAGCTCCGGTTCAAATTACAGCAGGAAAACCGGCAATGAAGCAACATAGCACCAGTATTTGAATGAACATTCAACAATTAAAAACTCGTTCAATTGAATCTGCAATTTATCGCAAAGTGACAGGGTTGGGAAACTGCAAAGTTCTAGCCATCAAAATGCATGGATCCTTTTTTATTTTCTAACCAAAGAAAAATGGAACCACACAGAAAATACCTAAACTACCAAACTAAATCAGCCATAATGGGTAGAATGAATTGGAATTGATATAACAGAAATGTGAAGAAATTTTCAGTGCGTTTACTTAAACTAACGACTGATTTCAGCGAAAACGTTCAAAGAGCTATAACTAAAAAAATATAACTCAGTAATCATTGCAGTGAGTGACAGAGAGCGCATTTTCTCGTCGACGAAAACGTGAAGTCACGGACGGACGGACTGACAGACGGACATGGCGAGCACAATAGTGCATTTTTTCATAAATCAGAAAAAGAGCTAAAACGCTCAAATTACTGCTTTGAAGTTACATAACTTCCATAAGAAAGTGAAAACGGTAAAGGAAACGCTGGAATATGTTAAGTATCGCATTTATTAACAATACTAATCAGGATTCTTAAGTTACTACAATGCAGTTCTATAATGTACGTATATAAATAAGAAACAAGGAGCTCTGGAATGCTACAGGCAGCGCCACGGCCGCAACACGGTGAAGGCACACGACACGAGAGGAGCACAAGCACGGCGGCCGCTCACTTTAACATGCCTCGCAGCCTCCGTATAATTTACCAGTTCTTGGAAATGTCATTCGTCTTATATCAGAACATGTTTTTCGTTTCACAATAAAAAATATCTTAGATTTATGCACATTCTATTTAGACCGCAAATATAAAGAAAACAATTATTTTACAATATAAAGTTAAAGACCTCCTGAAAAATACTATCCAGATCCAATTCCAAAAGAGTTAAAGTTCCTAACATAAAAGACTCAGTCACGATATAATTGCGGCCTTTCCCTCAAGCCCCTCAGCCTTAAATTCTCTCAGTGATAATTAAACCTGACGCTAAATACGTACATATCGTTCAGTAATTAAAGCAACTTTACAAGCCACACGATTTAATTTAAGAATTAGTTTGGAATTGAGAATACTCGGGACGTTGATCATAATGCTAGCAAATTGTACTGTAGAAAGATTACGTGATAAAGAAACATGTGCACAGAAAATACGGTACATTGGAAAGGCTCATAATGTGTTTGATAATTGTTCCAATAGGACCTACCTAAGGTAATCTAATTGCGTAGGAGGCAGAGGTATAAATTTTGTAAATATAATAGGCGAGCATGAAGCGTGTTTTTGCACGCAGTTACTCTAAAAACTACCATAAAGCAAAAGCTTCACGTAGACAATTAAACTGACAACTTGATGGAAGTTGAAATGTTCTCGCGCGTATGAGGTTCCTATCCAACTCCTCTAACTTCAGTAGGCATGATACTTGAGGAGGCCGTTAGTCAGGGCCGAGAGGTTGTCTTATCGCTTGCATCACACACGCAATGAAAGGGAACTGATGCCGGCAATATTGTGATCAGAGGCATCACGAGAAAGTGTCACCCCGCTGCGAGAACTCGCGTCCCAAGTTGTAATGAACATATCAGCAAAGTAAGCTAGCAAGACGAGAATGTAATAAAGTCATTTGGTGCATCCCTTGCACTTCTGACTTCGTAGTATGAGGGCACTCTAAACACAGATAATGAATAGGTCATCTTGTCCAAATATTGCCACGCTCTTTTACCCACGGCAGGAGCAGCGATCGGACGCAGTACTCATACGCCTTTTAACTGGACCAAACTGGGTCAGGATGACCCAGGCAATTGCAAAACATGCATCACAATTTGTAGAAAACAAAACTCATTTTTCCCAGTGATAAATAACATCCAAGACGAGTGGAATTTGCATCAAGACAGAGCACACGTCAATAAACGATGAGCTTTAACACACATTGTTGATTGCCCAGTGTGACACAAGAATTTAACTGGAAGTTTTGATAGTAATCAGGTCAAATATACCTTTCCCCAGTAAATCCCATAAGCCAATTATTGTCGTATCGATATGAAACTTGGAATGGGTTACAGAAGTGTATTGATGTTTGTTTATTTATTATTTAAGAGCAGCAACATTAATCGGATTCAGAAAGGTGGACCATCAAGGTTTACAGCTCGTTTGTAAACGAGCTGCCACCTAACAAATTCACAACCATCAAAACTTATCTAGAGCTCGATATCAACGACAGGAAAGGTTTCTACAAAAGCCTGACATTAAAATTTGAAATTTTAACGACAATTAGATGGGACTGTTCACAAAGGATCATGACGCTGTCACTATTAACATAAATCTGGAATCGAAATCTACAGTGAACCGTTTTGCTAAGAAACGCTGGACGTGCACAACAGCAAAGTTTATCATAGTACAAGATTCAGATCATCAAATATTTCTCATCTATCATCAGCCTTAAGCAAAGAACAATGGGACTGAACTAGTGGGTACAAAAATGTGTTTAGAACCAACCTCGGCACTCAGTTTTGGGCGTGGGTATTTAAAAGACAAGACTTACCGGTACAAGTTAAGTATCTCTTTTCTAAAAATAGCGCAGACCGTTCATAAAAATGCCTCTACATTTTAATTAGCTTCAGCTCAGCTATATCAGAAAATACTTGGTGAACGTCAGATGAATATATTAGATATCTTAACATTAAAAGATCAAAAAGTCTCTTCACAAGCCAGCATTCGCAACCTCTTTCTTGAGCTCTTGAAAAAACACGGCAGCACACACAAAAAAATCGATTCATCATGACAACTAATAATGGATTTATTTAAAAAGTATCCCAATGCTAAAATAATTTTTGACTCGAGAGCAATACCGTTCTTCGAATACTTTCTTGCTTCTTGGCCAAGTAATTTAACATCCATAAAAATTGTAGGATTAATTTCAATTGCAATTGTCGAAACATTTTGAAAAATACGCTTTTCTAGAAGTAAAATAGAGAAAAAACTGTAAACATAGACGAACAATTCAAACCGCTCAACCTCCAGCTTTTAATCAAACTCCGTGCAACAGTCGTGCAAGGATCATAATTAATAAGATAATCAATGTAAAATTTATTGCCACATTCTGGCAACCGTGGTTATAGATCACTAGATGATCTCAATCTTCATTGTTAGAGTGGGCTATAAGAGGTTTCTTAGTGCACAAAGGCAACAGTTTCGTTCGAGGTTCACATCTTATATACGTAGTACCTATCTAGGCAATAAATATCAAGAATAATTCATACATACAGGCAGGTTAACATTTGCATAAATGGGGCCAAAATCTGTACAAGGTTACACAAAAATTATGTTCGGACACCGCATCAGGTTGACCGAAGGCTCCGACGAAAATGAGGCCACCTAACGGTAATAAGGAAATTTACATTTTGAATGCAAAATTGAAGAAAGAAAAACTTCTGAAGTAACAATGTCCAAACATTAGCTTTTGTTCATGCTCTTTGGTGCAGTAGAAGAGGACGTTACAATTACATGTATTCCAAGTGTGGACTGTAAACTGAATGCTAAGAAATTACTATTAGATCTTATACAATGAAATGAAACGACGATCATCGATGACTGCCAACTAAACTAGAAATAAAAACGGCACGGAACAGAGAAAAGTGAGTAGCTAATGTGAAATGTAATGTAAAGTACAACAACTGTAATAAGATACAAGAACTTTCGGAGAAACGTTTTCAAATCATCACGAATTCTATTGTAATATTTCATCAGAGGAATGGACTGAAAACTTTAGTAATAGGGACCACATCAACGCTGTAGAAAAGAGAAGTTCGCTTTAAAAATAAACTAGCATTGGAGTACGTGAGCGTAGCTTTGTTTTTAGGTAAGAATGCGCATCAGTATCAGGCGAAATAGTTTCTGTCTTTGGCACAAAAATTGAAGTTAACTTGAGCTGAAATTTCTCCTGCCATAGTTATCATTCAAGCTCGCTATTTCATTATATCTTTTTCACTGTAAATGAAATGCGAGTATGAGTGAATAAAACATAGAAGGTATGATAGTCGGAATAAACTATAATGAAAAATAATATAGCAAAGTACAAAGAAACGAGTTGCCTCGCTCGCATTCAACGAGCTATAGACGAAGGCAGAGGAAGGATTGAATAGTTGAGATATTAACTTCAATAACAACCACAAGCAGCGCGTGACAAGGAGGATACAACAACAAACTAAGACTAGGTTAAAATAACTTCACTGGATAATAAAAATGTCAACGAGCGAACAATACCATTTGTACACAAGCAAAACTAAGAAGAAAAAATAACTCTTCGAGTTGCAAACAAAACAAGATTAAGTACATCACACTCCAAATAAACATGAAGAATAGCGAGTTCATAAATAAAATAGAAACAAAATTTTCGATCACAGCATCTGTGCGGAGCCAAGAAATAGGAATAACTTTACAAAGTTTCTGTATCACACATTTCAAGAGAAAATACATTTTTTCGACATACGATATAATAAGTTTTTTCAAACAATTAGATAAGCGTGCATGTGAGCAATCACACACTATTCACCGGCAAATTTGGTGGACAAAATCTGCGGTTTATGAGAAATCGAAAATAAAAGATAACACAAATTTGATCCTCGTTTACCAAGAAGTAAACAATCAAGGTAACTTTTCAAGGCCTTAGACGAAGACAAGCGAATACCGGAGTGAACCCAAGCCACAAAAGATCAACAGGGAAAAACTGTTACGTTTAAATCGACGATAGTTAGGTATAGGAAACCCGGCAGCATACAGATAAAATATTATACAGCTATCACGGCAAGAAGAAACAGATGTGAAAATAAATTAAATCTGATTGCGACAAGTCCACGGCAACCGTTCAGTTTGGCTTCAACCTAAACAGTTGAGTGAAGACGACGAAATGTACATGTGATTCGGAAGCAAAATAAACTACAATAAACCATTTCTGAATAAGGGTAATAACACACAAGAAGCAATGAACAGCACAACACCTGAGGTAACTGGTTGAGCAGTAGGTATACTTGGGCCACATCTCCCACTCAGCAGCAACTCTTAAGTTGCAACGAAGCATTGCGCTACGTCGCCTCGCACGCAACGGCTCAGATTTCATCCTTGCAACTACGCACGCTTCAATTTTGGACTCATTGATAAAATTGCAATTTCAGGCGTGGAGCATAAAAATTGATTATTAAGCCCTGATGTATCATGAAAATTCCTTCATATCCTCACAAAAATCACCGCCACCGCCGTTAATCAGTTCCGAAGAAAAAAAAACATCACACAATATACTGTACTTCACGTGCCAATTTTAACACCGACATAATTACAGTACCACTACACAGACTAAGGATGTATTCCAATACGTAGTCAATTATTAGCACAATCGTAGAAAATCAAATCAAAAATAGCTGATAAATCTTCAGCTTTGAACTCGTAAAATTTGAACCAAATTCTGGAAAACAGAAAAAACGTTCGGCATGGAATTGGTGTCACGCACACTCAATAGAAGACGAATGAGAATATTCAAAGGTGAGCTCCAAAGAGCAGAGAGAAATTAATTTGATTTTAAATCGTTGAAACAAACGATCAATCAATGTTGATTCTCCAGCACACACGGCAAGATCTCTTCACAAGAGTAATATAACAGGGCGTTCTTAAAATTATCAGCACCACGTCTCATTACAGTCATCAGACAGGAGAGGACACAAGCCCCTGAACGGCCATCATTTACTCCTGCTGTGTTGTGGCGGCTGAACAGAGAGCCGTTGCTGCAGGTTCTTCTGCTGCAGCTGCTGTGGCTGAGCTGAACTTCTCTGTTGATCTTGCAGTTGTGGTTGCCCAGATAATCTGCTCTGCTGCTGAGGCTGCCGCGTCAGCTGCTGCGGATTATTTGACGCATGCAGCGTCTCTTTAGCTTTCCTCGGAGGTGGGATCGGGGACTCGGGAACCCTGGAAGGGGCACCGCCTGTGAGGCCTTCAGAAGACCTGCTGGCGACGCTCGCTGGCAGAGGGCCGGGACTGGACGAAGTCACCCCCGAAGATATTCTCCGGCTGGGTGTTTTAAAAGAAAGTTTTTTGTTGGAGCGCGGGGATGGGGCTCCTGCACTGCCCCCAGACGGTGGGAGAGCATCAGTGTGTGCGCTAGAGGCCCCCGAACGCTGAACGCCGACGCTGTTGTAGACGCTTTCCGAGTGAAACAGGCCTGCAGGAACAATATTCATTAATTACAGGTGGTATGTATACTTCAATGATCGATACGATCGATCATCAAGACGGATTAACACGTTAAGTGCGGTATGAAATACGCCCTGAATACGACATAGCCGCACTTAACGTTCTTATTTACAGGCTATACAAATCAGTAGACATGTAGCTTACGTATCTGGGTGATATCGAATAAATAGACACGAATGAACTCATTTTAAATGAATTGACAAACGGTTATGATATGGAATTGACAGATGGATTATGGAAGTAGGTAAACAGGCCGGCTTTGATTAAAATTCTTCAAGGCTGGCAGATCTGGTTTGAAATATTACATAGTTAAGCAAGAGTACTCAAGAGATCAAGAGAGAACATTTATGGAGTTGAGAGAGTGGAAGCTCAGAACTGATGAAAAAAAAATTTCACGAAAATCGTTATTTCCTCAGGATGTATATATAAAATTTAGGAACTTGAGAGTCGGAAAAAAAATCTCAGAACAAAACACCAAATGACAGCACAACCGTTGAATTAGCTCAATTATGTTCTAAATGAGAGGGCTGAGTCCTTAATGAAAGTTAGTTGCCAAGCCTAAGAATCACTCGGGCCTTGTGTCTCAGCAGCAAGAAACTCTTTAGCTTCAAAGAATCCCCCGACAAAAATCAGCAAATAGAGATATGCGTTACAATCTTCATGGGCAGCTGTCAGTAATAATTTCAGCTTCTATTATCCTATTACCGTGAACACCATGAAGATGCCACAAGTAAACTGTCGCGGCCAAGTTACGCAACTGACTCTATAGCAAAGGAATGCACCGCGATCAATCGTGTTTTATTGAACACGCCATCAACTGTTGTCAATTGATGCATTAATTCCATGACAGTGAGTTATTCAAGAAAACTTCCCTAGCGAGAATTCATCAGATATGATGAACCTCTAAGAAAATTGATGAACACAAGGCACGCGAGAAATTTGAGCTAAATCAGGAAGGAGTAAATGACAGGACATGAAATGCAGTAAACTATGAGAGCATATCCTTGACGTTCAAGGATATACTTCTTAAAAAAAAAAAAAAAACTTCAATAGACGATATGACAAGATTGGCGGTCTCACGTACCAATCAAACCGTTACCCCTCATGGGCACGAAGTGCATCTAACCAGGCGATGTGATCACCAAGTGCAGACAACACAGCAGCAAGGGAGCAAAGAGAAGCGAAAACTAAAGGGGCAACGAGAACAAAAAGTGTGAAAAACTCGCCAGTTTTATTATTGGGTTATTTGTAGAAAACTCGTTGGTTGGGTGTCATATAAATTTGAGTAAATAAGCGGAAAAATAATTTTTTACGACAAATAAGGGGTCTCGTACAGTTATCTATAAATTACTAAAAACTATGTGCAATTATAAGACAAAGCAGGTACCAGTAAAGCAGAAAATAAATAATAACGCCACAACAAATTAACGCACAATTAAAAGAAATAAACGATAGAATAAACACGATAAATTTTTTTTAACAAATTCAAACATTTCACGTGTCGTTTTAATGTAGCAATGCAATGCGCATGGCAGTGCAGGAACTGAGCCTGAGACTCGTCGCAATAAGAAGTAAATACACGGCGAAGTAAGTATGGGAGTGAAGCACGACTCAAAAACAAAGAGGAAATGAAGCACACTAGCATGCTTAAATAAAACAAGTCAGTGACGTAACACCATATACGCTTGTACCAACAACTGAATAAAAATATGACTGTCTTGATCAATACATCATTCAAATAAAAAATAAAAATGGTGCATAAAATACGTGATTGTCATTCAGCGCTACTGAATCTCCAGACCCAAAATCCAATAATTGTACACGTCATGAGAACTGGATTAATTTATTGACAGCTTACGGCGACGATTCAGAACGGTCTGATAGACAAAAGTTATCGATAATAATAAAGCGTTGTTTCACGCGGGTGTAAAGATCAGTTCAATTTTTAGGCAGCCGATTCTGACCACCGTGTTGCTTCATTAACATAAGTTGACATATAATGAAGGCAAAAACGGACAGGCAAACGAAAAAAAAAGACATAGCTCTAGATGACACAAAAAAGCGCACACGGAAGCGTCGATTGTACAGCGCAACGAGACACGAAATGCGACGTCTTACGAGGCGCGATGTTTTGGACATTCCGGACACGGCGCCTCGTCACAGCAACACTCATCTCTGGTCGTCGACTCCTCAATATCTCCAGCAAGCGAACAGCATTCGTCACACTCGTCCGATGGGTGAGCTGAGAGCCGTTTTTTGGTAAAAGATCTTTCATGACAGCTGGGAGACGGAGCGGAGCTCGAGCAACTTGATCCGGAATGATCGAAAACACAATCACAACTTGCAGTCTTGCAAATTTGGCAGCAGGGCATATCGTCTCGCAGGTTATCATGTGAACTCTTGTGGAATTCACGCAAACTTGTTGATGAGCAGCACTCGTTGGATTCATCTCGTGTTGGATTCTCGATGTGGAGGAGCGTTTCAGCCTGAATATTGGAAGTGTTGACCAGTTCAGCATGACTCGGCAAGGCGCTAGCGTCATAAACAGCGAGCTTGCGACAGACCGAACTCTCTTTCTTCGCACATGTAAATTTTTTCGGATCACACATCTTCCATATTAACTCCGCCTCGGCGCCTTCAGGAGAGCATTTGTTAGGTTCTTCTTCGATGCACGAAGTCACCGAATCTCGAGATTGGTTAAGATCAACGAAAAATTTAGAATTGGAGAAATGCGAGTCAAATTCAGCTTCGCTTGAACCTGCTTCAGTCCGGTTATCAAAAATACCCTTTTGGGGATTAGATGTTGGTTGAAACCCCACAGAGTCGAGGAAGGATGAACAAAATTCAGATGTTTTCATGGAGCAGCAGCACGCATACTCGCAATGACATTGCCGCAACACGGCGTTATCAAGCGATAGCTTTCGGGTCAATGAAGAATCTTCTTCACTAATATCGAAATTCGAGAACTGCGCCCAAGATATCTTCCTGTCAGGATACATGGCGTGAGGAGGAGGTGCTGTAGCGGTGGTATGACGACGCTGCTTGTGATGATGATGATGATGGGTGCCGGCATCACGAACAGGAGTCGAGTGATGTGGGACGGAAGATGTCGTACCCGCGGAATGGCGTCTCAAAGAGCCGAGAACGTGTTTCATTTCTGTGGTTTTCGCGAGAAAAACATGTAAGCAAAGAAAAAAAGGCACGCGAGAAATTTGAGCTAAATCAGGAAGGAGCTTTTCAAAATAAATGCCTATAAAAAAATGACTTCTGGAAAGCTCAAATGTGTTGAACGTAAAAACCCCGGCATGCTTGGCTTACTAACATGCACTGGCAACCCAATAAAATCACAGCACAAACAACATTAAAGAACAATAGGCCGTAACATATGTGTTAGCAATAAATAAAAATATTTGTACCATCAGCGGACCAGAGATACGCCTGTGTGCATAAGAACTTTTAACCTAACAGTAAGACTTCTAAGTGATCGAAAACTCGATGATGTCGCGATGATAATCCTCAACATTTATAACGGCGTGCTCGCCTCACATTGTGATGATGTGCACTCGGTGGCGACAAGAAGAGTGTCATGCTAGTGAAGTGTAAACTAAGTTTGGCACAGGTAACGTACGTGGCACAAGTGTAGCACAGGTAACGCACGTGGCACTAAGTGTGGCACAGGTAACGTACGCGGCACAAGTGTGGCACAGGTAACGTACGTGGCACTAAGTGTGGTGCAGGTGACGTACGTGGCACTAAGTGTGGCACAGGTAACGTACGTTGCCCTAAGTGTGGCACAGGTGACGTACGTGGCACTAAGTGTGGCACAGGTAACGTACGTGGCACATGTGTGGCACAGGTAACGTACGTGGCACAAGTGTGGCACACTAAAGGACAACAGTGAAATGTTCTTATGGCTCCCCTGCAGCGGAAGGCGTACATGATCGAAAGGCGATATTTGATCGAAATTCAAACTATTAAGTAGCTTTGAAATGTCATTGAAAAAAATACCTGCAAATGAGTTACTAAAAACCGAGTAGCAGAAAGCGATACTGAAGCATTAAGTGCACTCGTTGGGCGATATTCATTGCTGTAGAGCAAGCGTCGATTAGTTCAGCCAAAATCAGAGCTAAATCTACTCGTCAGTAGAATGAAGAACTGATTTCCTGCATAAGGGAATATTCCAACTATTGGCATGACAATGATTAATTCTCTTGAAGAGATGATTTGCAAAAACAATTGAACTAGTTAGTAAATACGCGAATACTACAAGATTATGAAGCTTGAGGAACTTGCTTCTCTTGTGAACTCGGATGAGGTTATTAGCCAGCCCAGCAGCAACAAAGCATAATGCTGGTAATTTTCAGACATAGTACTGGTATTAAGAGCACGCCTCTTACTGCCACGGCTGGTTGAGAGGAACCATAAGAGCGACCAGCGACGTCGTCTAAAGCTTACCGTCCTTCGTGCGCTGCGATGTCAAGACAAACACATCAATAAATACACGAACAAAATTCAAATCAATCATGAAGCATAAGCAAGCTAGTCAAGACTTCAAATAAGGACGGTACTTGAGCCAAGGAAGTAACCTGAAGCTAAGTGGAAGCGACAATAAAAAGCTACCAAAAAATACATTCACCCAACTACACCAATAACTCACAAAGAAGAACCACAAAAATTAGAAACTGCACTCTAATATCTAATGCATAAACTGTCAAGCTAAATATTAGATGACGGAAGAACCAGAGAAATTTGGCATAGGGCACTCATGTAAATTAATGATCAAGTTGCACAGGCTACAAGCTTTGTTCATGTTCGTCGCGAGGCTAAACGGAAGGTCCAGGACTGCATGACAAAATGTAATACTGGTACGGCATTATTTTCATGCATTGGTCCTTTATTCTTTAACCATAGAGTATTTGCATAGATTTTTAGCATGAAATAGAAGCACAAAAGAAAGAAATTTCAGGCGAGGAAACTTCAAAATATGGGATCTAATATAAGGTAGGCACAAAAATGACACCGCGTCTGAAAAAAAATTAGAGTACAAATTCACACAGAGCAATTAATGGAAGATGAAGGCGCACTCACTTCTAGCTTTCTCTCTGAGGTTGTGCTGTTCTCCTGTGGAGTAGCTGGTGGGGCGGGTGAGAGGAGGTCGCTGGTGGTGGGGAGAACCTTGATGTCCCCCACTACACCCACCGTGGTGGGGACCTCCTGACGGAGACCCACATGCATTGCAGGCGCCCCCCTCCAGCAGCAGGGCGGCTGCGAGACCCGAGGAAGACTCGGTGGGGAAGAAGACGTTGGAGGGATCAGACGAGTGCGACGATGGACCCTCCCCTGGTCGTGTGAAAAATGACGTGCCTGCACATGTCATCACTGCTTCAGTACGAGGACCAATTGTAGTCACTGCAACTTGAGGCTTGTGGCCTTTCTATTAAATAAAATCCATGTAAACATGGCCGCTAATGCATTTTATTTTGAGCCAGTACTAGAGACGTACACGCTTTTAAAATAAAAAATGAATGTTCTTCGTTAATTCTATTCCGTTGACGTGTTTCTTTTATCGGCAGGCGGCGACTAGGCGGGCAGTGGAGACACACGATTCAATGATACTTTTTTAAAACAAGGAAATTATTGCGGGATTCCTAGCGCGGTTAGCGCGAATAAAACAGAGCTGCGCATGCCAAAGCATTCGCTATTAATTTGAAATGTTGAAAGCAAAACTAGCTAAGAAATTGAAACTCTTCTTTCTCAATCACAATCGTTCATAAAATTTTACCAAACCGATGTTTTGGTAAAATGTTCCAAACTCGCACTTGATGTTCCATCACATAAATTTACTCATTTTACACGGTAAAGTTACACTCGTTCTTACGAACAAAATCCTGGATGAGGTAGCAAACAGGCCAGTTACTTGCGTCATTTATATCGCAAGTGATAAGAAAGCTTTGAAAAATCGTACCAGATGCGCGGGCCGGTCCCCCAGGGAAGGCAGCAGGGAAGACCGGGCAGTGCACGGCGGAGATGAAGGCCTCGAAGGTAGTGGCCTCGCTGTGCTGGTCGATGATGGCATGCAGAGCACGAGCCCGCTCCTCGTAGCTGATCAAATTCAACGTATTACTTAATCATTTTTATTATTATTTCATTATAGCAATGCAACAACTATTATGTTTAATTGTTAGTAGAGCCGGCCGAGAAGAGCGAAAAATGTGTTACTCTCACATTTATAGCAGAGAAGCAACTCGTGGGAACTTATAATAACAAAATATCGCATTGCTTTCAAGCTATCATATTGGAAAAATGTATTGACTTAAATCAACCATCGAAGGAACATATAGCGCCATGAATAAAAGGACAATATGTGAAGATAAAATGTGCAGCAAACGTTAACAACAGTTATGCATGAAGGGACGCTTATTAAATAACTTACAAATTTTGGTATAGGGGAAGCCTGCTCCTCTTAGCGCGTGAGGCGTTGACGGCCGTAGCACGCACGAGGCACGGCAGTTCACGCCGCCCCACCAGCGCTCCGTCGAACAGCGGCCCAAAGAACGGCACCTAAACATGAGCGATGCATGGGTATATATAACTTCGTAACTCAATGAAGGTGTAAGCTTTGTGTAAGTCAGGTTATAAGGCTCTCGTATGGTAAAAAGGCTTTCAAATTAAGAAATGAGTATGAGGAGAAATTCAATGCGTCGAGCAGCGGCCCAAAGAACGGCACCTAAACATGAGCGAGGCATGGGTATATATAACTTCGTAACTCAATGAAGTTCTAAGATTTTGTGAGTCAGGTTATAAGGCTCTCGTCAGGTCAGAAGGCTCTCAAATTAAGAAATGAGTATGCAGAGAAATTCAATGTATGCAAAGAGAAGAAAAAGATGTGGAAGAAGGAAGACAAAGCGTCGCAAGCGGAAAAAGCTTTTTGTCCTGCAGCTAAAATCAGGAGTATAAGACAAATGGTAGAGCGAGGAAGACTCACGTCAGGCTTGGAGCTTATGTGTATTCTGTGTAGGGAGTTGGCCAGTGGGTAGATGACGATGAGCACGTCACAGAACTCTGTAGGGATGATGCCACGTCTGTAGTCTCGACTGTGTTCAGACCACACGATGTGCACCTCGTCGTTCCCCAAATGACGTGTCTGCAGATTCAAACGCACGTCAGGCACAAAATTTAATTTTTTATAATCATTTATCATGAATTAAGCCACCATGTAATGATGTGGCTCGAAAAACCTTGAGTTAAAAAACATAATTTACACGGCAAAAAATATTATAGTTAATATATAAACTTATAATTTTCAATTTTTATAATTGTTGATTAAAGTTTAGAAGCCTGGTGCCTCAAATAGGTAGTTCACGCTAGACTGTAAAGTATAAGCGCGTATCCACAATTTCAATCGTGTCACGGTATTTCCTGGATCTGAGAATTTATTGTTTGCGAGAGAATAGAAGAGCATCACAAACCGGGGAACGGGGTTATAACATTGCATTACCGGGCCCAGCTCGATGTGATGGCCTCACCTTGAGCAGCAGGAACTGCTCAGTATGTGATGGCCTCACCTTGAGCAGGAGGGACTGCTCGCTGTGATCGCCTCACCTTGAGCAGGAGGGACTGCTCAGTATGTGAAGGCCTCACCTTGAGCAGGAGGGACTGCTCGGTGTGTGAATGCCTCACCTTGAGCAGGAGGGACTGCTCAGTATGTGGCCTCACCTTGAGCAGGAGGGACTGCTCGGTGTGTGAAGGCCTCACCTTGAGCAGTAGGGACTGCTCAGTATGCGAAGGCATCCTCGTGGACACATGGAAGATGGTCTCGGTGAGGCTGGTGGCGTGGTAGGGCGCCGTCTCCCCCGTAGACCCGTTGCGATGGAGGCCTCCCAAGAACCCTGTGTGGGTGCTCAGCTCCACCTCCCAGCCCAACCCCCCAACAAACTCCTGCGCAAAATATTCAAATATAACTTCCCTTGAACAGTTAACAGTGCAAGCAGTGCTCTTATCTGCATCATTTTGTAGCTGTGCCTAATTTTTTTATTGTTATTTCTTACCCAGAAGACTAATTAGTTTTATTGACAACGGGAAAAGGAGAAGCAAGGAGGGCGAAGAAAAAAACTCAAGAAACATGAACAACTGTTAGGCACTTTTTAAGGGCAGATAAAAATCGAACGAAAAAGTAACATCTGATAACCTGAACTTAAATAAGCTTTTGTGCTCACAAAGCAAAGTTTCACCTCAAAGCGCTGCGATCCTCCCGAGTTGCTGAGGATGGACATCTTGTCCTCCTGCCCAATGGCCACGTACAGCACCGCGATTTTGTGTGTCTCGCGGCATTTCTGTACAAACGAATATGAATTAGGAACGTGAAAGCAATGAGCTTTGCATGGAACCTTGGTTAGAAAGATTCCACAACTCCGTAAGCGACAATTAATGATGAAGGTAACAAGTTTCATTAATAATAAATTAATCATGATACCAGATTCACATTTCCACTCCTCACCTACAAGTTTATAGACGTTTATCTCTTCATTATTTATTAATTTCAACACGTCATTATCCATAATTTCGATTTCGGACTTTTTCCAACGTTAACAAAGCACTAGTTTTCAGCAACTGAGGAAAAACATTAAACATACCTGATTATCGAGGTTTTTTATTTCTCTAAGAAGTTTGTCATTCTTCTTAAGCGTGTGCAGAGACTTGCGCTTCTCCCAGGCGGCGAGACCGAGCTGATCGAAGAGCAGCCGACACTGCTGGAAGGGCGACGCTTCCTCTCTGGGTGCGGGACACTCTTCCTCGGGGCACTGCAGTCTGAGGAGAGCATCATGACACATTTTAGCGATTCTTAATGCTTATTATAGCTTGGTATCAGAGCACTGAAGTCTGAGGAGAGTATCATGACACATTTTAGCGATTCTTAATGCTTATTATAGCTTGGTATCAGAGCACTGCAGTCTGAGGTGAGCATCGTGACATTTTAGCGATTTCTAATGTTTCTCACAGCTTGGTACCTGATGGCAAAAGTCTATCTCCTCCCATTATACTGAGTAGGGATTTGGAGGCGGCACAAGCCCTAATGCCTACACTTATTGATTTGTTGGACAAGACACAATCCCTATATTTGATGATGACAAATCATATTAGAACCACTTTTTTCTGTTTTTTTTTTTTTGGAGATCCTTCGTCGTGGTTTGAGACCCTTTTAATCCAATTAATCTATCTGTATTCAATTTACAAGCTAAAAATTTTTCGGCGACATGACAGACCAACAATTTCGTTATGCAGATGTGCAAATCTTCAAGCTTGTCCTGTCCAACTAGGACTGTTTGAGTACCAGACTAAAATACATTACAGGTAAGTCGTAACATAGATCACAAATAGTAATAAGTAACATCGATGAATCATGCAGGTTAACATTGTGCCACGAGTGTGTGTGGCGCTCACTGTGGGGTGTGGGTGTTCCTGACGATGTAGTCCTGCACGGCGCTGCGGTGGGCGAGGGACGTGGCGATGGCGTCATGCTGGAGCACCACGGGCAGCGTGGGTGGTGGGGCGCCCGCTTCGTTCAGGGGCCCGCCTACTTGTTCCAGCACCTCGGGGCTCGTGTGCCCGATGTAGCTCAGTAGCTGCGAGGCACAAAATATACTTGCAACTCCCATACATACTAAACTTAACAACTTGACTTACTAGACTTAACAACATATATACATAACTCACACACGGAACTTAGATATCGCACAAACACCAAAACCAGGTTGCATTTCAAAAGTAGCGAATTCTTTAGACAAATGGAAAATGAAAACTTAACTCTTCCACCCATATAGAAATACTTGATGAAAAAATTTAAAAATCCGATCTTGGTTTGGATTTGTTGTGATCTAGACGTCAAGAATACCCCTAAATACAAAATAGCGGGATAATAGTGACTTGCTCAGATTTTCTAATAAATAAATTACTGTTGGTTGATTACTGTTCAAATTATCCAACAAATGGATCAGTCACGACACAAACACAAGCCCAAAGCTAACAGGGACCGTGGGCCCATGAGTTGTCTGAGGTACGCACGTCGTCGAGGTTGTCGAGGTCGTGGGCCGAGTCCTGGTGAGAGGGCAACGCCCCTGGGGGCCGACGGCGAGTCATGTTGCGTGGGGCCATCAGAGGCGCCCCCACCAGGCTGCTGCTCATAAGGTCGTCCCGGCTCAGGTGGAGCTCTGCTCGACATGAGCATGAATAAGAGAGGAGGAGTATCATGGTGGTGTGATGAGGGGTATCATGGTGGTGTGATGAGGGGTATCATGGTGGTGTGATGAGGGGCATCATGGTGGTGTGATGAGGGGTATCATGGTGGTGTGATGAGGAGTATCATGGTGGTGTGATGAGGGGTATCATGGTGGTGTGATGAGGGGTATCAAGGTTACGAAGGCAAGCAACTGATCTATCAATGTAAACTCACCGTGTGATGAAGTAACGGAGCCCGCCGTGTTGAGAGCAGCACGGTCGTGGCCTGAATAAGGCGTTACATTAGCAGCGCCGTGGTCGTGTTGTGTGCTGCAGCTGTCGTCCAGGGACGGCAGGCCGGAGCTGTTGCAGCTGTCCAGTACATCGGAGGGCGGGGCACATAACATCGACGCGTCCCACGAGAACTTGCCCGATAGATCGCGCATGATGAGTCGTACCTGTGTGTAGACGGGCTCACTTGTGGCGCGACTACTTCATTAATGTTGGTTGCTTCTCTAGTTAAATCAATATTTTGTAAAGTAATAATATTAATCATATTAATAGTTTAATATTTTGTAAAGAGTTACAAGTTCACACGTTGAACTATTGGGATAAATTCAATAAGTTCGATAGCAAGCCGCTGCAATAGCTGTGGAAACTACACGGCGACAGGAAAATTGAACTACTGCCAAGAGGTGATACTATCTTTACTTACGTCGAGCCATCATGGGGTTTATATGGTGGGCACAAACCTGGTGACTATATGCTAATTTAAACGATTGAAGTCGAATCAAACTTCATTTGAAGAATGGAAATATACTCAGATTTTTTTTCCGTTTAGCAGTACAGCGTGCTTAGCTTGCTATCGTCGGGGGACCATTCGATGCTACGACAGGACAGTTTGACATGAATGGCATGAAAAGGTGCATGGAGGGGAGCCTCAAAGCGACCATTGCAGGTATCATATTAGGTAATTAATTCGCCCACAACGCTTTATTAGTAAGCTGGAACCTCTCATCTGCCTTCAAATAGAAGATCCTAAATATCAGACACACACATTCCTGACCTTATCAATCGTACCGCATCGTAGTTGCATGGCACAGTTCTCCTGGCCACAATAAGCTAATGCTTAGCCTGGCTTTGCAAATGTGAGTCACTGAATTTGCCCTCAACAGTACTCATAAGTCCACAGGCTAAGTCAAGCCAATTTGTGGTAGCTTAATGTGGCGGCTATGTTGCGTTTATGTGGCGGCTATGTTGCGTTAATGTGGCGGCTATGGTGCGTTAATGTGGTTGCTATGTTGCGTAAATGTAGCGGCTACGGTGCGGCCCCTGTTAAAGTTCAACAGCCACAGGAAGGGTTCTTGTATGTCCCTATAATAGCCTGGTCGTCACCGGTAGAGGAATTTTGTATACAAACACTTCACTGGAGAAACTCTTAATAATTGAATCTTAGATTCAGAAGTTTTGGTGTCATTGAGACATGCATGCCACTCTCCCTCATCTTAATGATAAGGGCAGGATAGCATGGCAAGGGAGACTGCAATCCAAGTTTCTCTAGTAGCTAACAAGCAAAAAGATTCGCAAAACACTAGAAGAGATTTACCACATTACTTTATAAAAGTTTCGGCATCCATCATTTTTCAAAATCAATGCGCTACATTGAGCCAGAGAAAATTTTCTAATTTTGCTCGTGAAGCATTCGATAAATATTTTAAATATACAAGTAGAAAGAATATTTTCAATTCTCGGGTGCATTAAGCAAACCTCAGATGACGGAGTAACAAATCCAGCAACTCCGCCCCCAGGGCCGTGCAGAGCAGGCAGCTGCACCATTGAGAAGAGGCAATTGTTGTTTAGGGCGAAGATCTGCACGTGTGGAGACAGGAAAACATCTCCGGTGAGTTCCTCAGAAGCACAGCCCGGCAGGTCGTCGCTCTCCACTACAAGGGAGGAGAGTCGCTGGGCGCCGACACCCAAAGGGAAGTGCCACAGGTGGTTCAGGAGATGCTGGCTCATCTGTAAGGCATTGTCAAGGATAGTAATGTGATAGGTCAGCTAAAACGAGCGACACAACGTTTTGATGATGACAACGACGAGCTCCGGGCGTGGGTCACTGAGTGGCTGAGATCGCACGCGGCGGATTTATATGACGAAGAAATTTTGAAGCTTGTCTGCCGCTACGATAAGTGTAAGCATTTTTGTCACCCTTTCATATGTATATAATAAAATATTTTTCCTGTACTTGGATTTTGTTACACAAAAACCTTCTCTAGTTTTTGAATAGCCCTCGTAAAAAGATGATGGAAGAATACAGTTCGTTACGCAGCTCAATTTAAAATATGATAACTGTGCTCGGTATAGGAGATATAAAAGTGAAGACAGAGGAGTGCGTGTGACTTGCATTCCATCACTCTTAAGGAAGATAATGATGACCTAATAAGTAATAAGAGTTGACCGAAGAGTACGCGCGATTCACACTCCATCACCCACACGCATGATAATGATGATCTACTAACAATTAAAGACATAATATCGCTCGAGACTCACGGTCCATCACCCTTAATAAAGTTAATGACCCTCTACCGCCGTATGTCACTCTTCGTGAACAAAACTTTTAACTTAAATTATAAGTAAACTATCGAGTGTAGCAACCTGAGGACGTTTGTATGCAACAGAGAACATTTTAAAGTTGTTGTACGCGGCGGCAACCCCCAGTGCAAGTCATTTTGCGCTCACTAGAACGTATCCTTTTTGGGAAGTATATTGTTGACAACATTGCTCCGGTTACTCATGTCAGGCAGTAGAGGGTTAAACTAGCAACAGAAGACAGAAGAGCGTGCGCAACTCACAGTCCTGGCTGCCAGCCTGACGGTGATAGAGACGCCGGGCGCCATGATAATGATGATATAATTAATTGATTAATGATAAAATTAATGATAATATAATAATTAACACAGTATCACCATCAACTCACAGTCCTGGCTGCTAGCCTGACGGTGGTAGAGACGCCGGGCGCGAGGCCAGCCTGAGCGCGCTTGAGTGTGTCGGAGCGACTGTCACGAGGCGCGTCCTCCCGCACCGCGGTGCTGAAGTCTGCCACCTGCACCGCTGGGGCCTTGCTGAGCACCGTACCGCTCGCTCCACCCGTGCTCACCACGTCCAGAACCTGATACATCACAACATGTCGTTATGATCATAAAAACTTGCATCATTCCTTCGCTTCAATCGCCCACGTCCAGAACTTGATGCATCACATCATGTCGTTACGATAACAATAACTTGCATCATTCCTTTGCTTCAACCGTTCACGTCCAGAACCTGATACATCACATCACGTCATCATCATCATCACAATAACTTGCATCATTCCTTTAATTCAACCGCAACTTAATAAGGAATTTAAAATTAAAGAAAACGACGACTAAATTCACTACATAATTGATTATCAATTCGATGAAGATATGGTTAATTGTTATTTTCTTCATTTATACATTCTTGAACGATAATAACTATTGTTAAAATGAACTAATCTCAGTCCAAAGCCAAATTAGACTTGTTTGATTATTCAAATATTGCTGATATTAATCATTAAGTGTCATTGATCATTAACAAGGCGTCCTTCTTGAAGCGAGCATTATAACACGATGCTGACAGCACATTACCTTGTTAAGCGAGTACACTACAGGCGAGCATTTTAACACGACGTTACGTAAGACGATTACCTTGTTAAGCAAGTAACACTACAAGCGGGTGTTATAACACGACGCTGCCGTAACACATTACCGGTACCTT